TTCAGATACAGGCTTTACCAAACAAAATACTTCCTAAAATTAGTCTGAATTTAGAAAACTTTCAAAGTGTCCACAGGATTAATAAAACTCTGATATAAAACTCTGATATAAAACTCTGATATAAAACTCTGATATAAAACTCTGATATAAAACTCTGATATAAAACTGAAAGATTGTTGGAGAAAAGTGAAAATAATAACAGGTCATCAAGAATGCTATCCATTTCAACTACAACAGTCTAACTCTGAACTGAAATATTGAACTGAAATTATAGAAATCCCCAAAATCCTAAAATGCCAGGACAAGGAAAACGTGTATTTTCTGTAATAGAGGAAAATAATATGTTACCAAGGAAACGGAAATTAAAATCAGGTAAATTTTTGTTTTGTTATTCGACATGTTTTTGGGGATCTTGTGGGCATTCTGTGGTTGTCTAGTCGTCAATACAAGTAAATAGAAAATTAATCTCCCTTTGATTCGGTACCAAACTCATTGCGAACAAGAGAAATACAGGAAAAATACAGCAGTCTCTGTATTTGTGTGGAGGTGGAGACCGAGGAACGGTGGTCATTCGGTTGTATTTATTGTAGAATAATATAATAATAATGATAGAAAATCCTCATATCAAGTCAGAAGAGCGATCAGTGTAGTTGAATCAGAAATCAATTTTTATATGCATAAATTAGAGGATTTTTTTGAACTTGTGTTTGAGACTAAGTTCTACAAGCATTATAAATATACATGTAAAACCAACAGCTATTCTTACCCTGTGGACAGGTGATTCGGATACAAAATCTTCATCAGGACAGCTTTTTTTTTAGTTGACCTTCTTATAAAAATGTAGGCCTAAACGACTAGGAGGCAGTGTAGGAGGCAGTATCAGGTCCGTGACTACAGGGGACAAGGAAGGAAATGCCCCAACGATTACCCCACAGAAAAAATTCTGACAACCGACCCATTTCACTACTCCAACTTAACACCATAAACCATTGCCCCCCCCCCCTCTCGGAAATATATTACTTCCCCCTCCTTCCCTCTCTCCCTCCACCCCAAAAATCAAGTCTGGCTACGGGCCTGGGAAGAATATTCTTCATGTAATGTACTTTGTAATGTTCGGCAATCTACCCTATATAAATTATAATAATACCTGAAATATATAATATTCAAAATGGTAGAGAATGATTGACAGTATAAGTGCTAGATGACATTCGACGGGGTCCTTTACTAATTTTAAAAGGGTTTTGATTAAGGGTCGATCAGTTAAAATAAATATTGATTATCCTTAATATGCAGTTTTCAACATGTATAAATTCATAGGCCAAAAAATGTCTGTAGATCGCTCGAATCTGAGCTCTCAATTGTTTGTATGTCTAATAACAAATGAGGTGATTTCTTACAAAACATAACATGTAAATTTTAGTATTTTATTAGTTAAAGATAGTTAAAGATACCTCAAACTGATTGTTTTTTTTTTTTGGAATTTTTATGACCCAAAGAAAATCCACATTATTAAGAAATTGGGTATTAAAAGAATCATCTGAAAATATGCAATATATCAATTGAAATTGAAAAGTGTTTTATGATATTGGTTTGATACTATATTTCTACCATCTCATATGATCCAGGGCGGTCACATCATTGATTTGTCGGTTTGTGAAAGGCAGGGTAGGAATTTTAGGTTGTAACATTGCGGTTAAGTAATGTTACGAAAGCACAGGCAGAGGCATGCAGGCAGGGCAGGGTGATCAAGTAATTTCTCGTACGATATTTCTACTTAGTATAGAATGACGCTATTTGGGTTGTGTTCTAGAACCGCTTTGTCACATAAATTACTAACGAATTGGTCAGAGTAAAACATATTTAAAATATTTGTGTCCACTTCAAGCGATAACTTCCAACTGAGTGTTTCAGCCACATTCAACAAACTTATCAGAAAGGACATGATTCATATAGATCTGACAGACTAGGAAGAGATAGGGTGGGCGTCGTCTCGCTTAGTTTATGTCATTTTTCTGTTTGATATCATACTACGACGAGATTAGAAACAAACTGAAAGAGAATTTTACGTCCCTCTCTTCTATTGAATTTTACATTGCAGTGTGCCACGAAGTAAAATCTGAAGCGCTAAAAAAAACAATGAAACGAAGGAAAGGATAACTGTAATAAGAAAGTATTATTAGAAATTAAAATTTATATTATTTTTGTATATATTGTCAACCTATTGCAGACACGCCCCCCCCCCCCCCCCCTCCTCTTCTCGAATATTGGCATTATCTTTTGATATTTGCGTTGTCCTTGAATATTGGCATTATCTTTTGATATTTGCGTTGTCCTTGAATATTGGCATTATCTTTTGATATTTGCGTTGTCCTTGAATATTGGCATTATCTTTTGATATTTGCGTTGTCCTTGAATATTGGCATTATCTTTTGATATTTGCGTTGTCCTTGAATATTGGCATTATCTTTTGATATTTGCGTTGTCCTTGAATATTGGCATTATCTTCAAATATTGGTATTGTCCTCTGATTTTGGCACTACCCTCGATTAATGGCATGATGTCCTATAATATAGTCATTATCATTTAATATTGGCATTATCCTGAGATATAGGTATCATCCTCTAATATAGGCGTTATTCTCAGATATTGGCATTATCTTTTAATGTTGCCATTATCCTCAACATCAGCATTATCATGAGATATTGGCATTATCCTTCGACTATTGGCATTGTCCTTCGACTATTGGCATTATCCTTCGACTATTGGCATTGTCCTTCGACTATTGGCATTATCCTTCGACTATTGGCATTATCCGTTGATATTGGCATTATCCGTTGATATTGGCATTATCCGTTGATATTGGCATTATCCTTCGACTATTGGCATTATCCGTTGATATTGGCATTATCCGTTGATATTGACATTATCTTTTAATGTTGGCATTATCAGTAAATACTGGCATTATCCTACGAATTTTGGCAGTAGCCATGAATATTGGTAGTATCCTTTGATATTGACATTTTAAGCATCGAATGTTACTAATATGACATGATCATTTAAACATAACCATTGTGAAAGTAAAGGGGTTTAAAACACACACGTGCAGAAAACCCCTTAAAAAACCTTTAAATCTAGAGTGGTGACAAATGGCTTGATTAAGTTTTAATGTATTGATAATCCTATAAAATAAAAACTTTTATTAATCAATTTTAATATTTTTAGATTGTTATAATAATATTTTATAGACAAACCAGGTGAGGCGAAAAACAAAGAAATTCTGAATTTATATGAAACAGTTTCTTTGTATTGACATGGAATCGGGTATCAAAAGCCATTGTTCGCCATTTTCAGGGAGTTGATTTGAGTCTTGAATATTATTATGTAAATAGTCTTCAAAAGTACTAAAACTGTACGAAAATCGCATAATCCCTTCAAATATACATTTAGCTTTCTGAGACTAAGGTAGGGTTGGTCAACAGATGGCCAACCTGTTTCTTTGAAATGACAATAGCGAGACCAATATGTAGTTGTACATTTGGAGACTTTCTTGATACGAGCTTCATGGTTAAGCGTTTTAATGTAAAAATGTCAAAATCGCCAGTGAACGCTTATTTTGTGCTTCAGGTGGTGAAATTTCTTCGCAGGCGTCCATAATCTGGCAAAAATAAATAATATAAAGGCGATATTGTCCATGCATTCTTGGTTTTGTAATGAAATGAAATGAAATAGTATTACGTCCAACTTTTATGCTATTGGGATAAAAAGAACGACCAACGCTACGCAGTATGCAATAGAGGAAATTTACCAGGGCTGATATAACTGCAATACTCGCAAAGTTGCATAGTTTCATCGATTTGATTGGACTGTACACCAGCGAACACTGCCAGTCCTAGCCCTTGACAAACTGTAGACATATATAGTTCACAGACTTTCTGTCGAGGACACAGATTAGCTGTATTCGCTGAATTTAAAAACTTTCGTGGTACTAGAAAAGGGTATGGGATGAAATTCGTAATAGTTTGACATTGTGAAGATGGGGATATTGTCGCACAATGCCTTTCATATCTGAGACATCTATATTTATTACATATTCTACTCAATATAAATATTAAAACTTGATAACCCTTGATAAATATCTGTATATAACGTGTAATTAAGATAATAATTAATTAATGATTAAACAATGTAATACAGTGGGATATTATTAATGATGAGATATTTACTACTTAGTAACCTATATTAAACAACTCTTCTTAACCACTGTAATATATAGGGTGACCCCATTAAAGTAATTGTGAAAAAGGTTGTAACGTGGATGTAGAATTCGGTATATGTTCATGGGGGCTGGGACTTAAAGTAAATCGAACCAGTTGTGATTTCTGTTCCTTTTCTCTGGTGATATCACTCTGATGTATATTTAAATTGTATTTAATTTCAGTTTTCATTTCTATTCATCTGCGAAGTTTTTCTTAAACTTCCATTTTATTTCCATTAAATCCCAATTTGTCCGGAATCTCAATTTCATTTCATTTCTCTTCCATTTTATTTCACTTCTGATTTTTCACATCCATTACATTAATGAATTTTCTTCCATTTAATTTCAATTTTGATTTCCCTCCATTTCATTTCATTTAACTGTTTTCTTTCATCCTATTCCACTTTTCATCTTTTCATTTTATTCCACGTCTGATTTTTCTCGATTTACTTTAATTTTTAATTTTTCATACATTGAATTATATTCAACACTTTGCCTCCATTCCATCCATTTCATTTCTGATAATCTTCTATTTTATTTCAAATCTGATTTTTCTCATTTCATTTCAATTTAGATTTTCCTCCATTTCATTCCGTTTCGTATTTAATTCAACTTTTTATTCTTCCATTCATTTCATTTCTGATTTGTCCCGACAGATGGTGATTCTGGAGGTGGGAGCGAGGAAGAGAGTGAGAAGGAAGAAGAGGAAACTGAAGGAATAAAAGGAGAGAAAGAAGGAGAAAAAGAGAGAAAATCGGTGGCTCAGATTATGAGAGATAAAAAGAAACAAACATCTTTGACTTTACAATGGTAAGCTGTTTCCTTTATTTCTGCTAATACGTTAATCGATCATGGAAATACCTGATGTCAGAATCGTGAAACATTAGCCAATTTTGTGCTCCTTACATTTCGAGAAAGGGTGATGTTGGATGGAGTTTTGCTGTTTAGGACAACAGGGATTAAAAGAGCCAACGAAGGTTAAAAAGATTGTAAAGAGATTTTCATAAAATAGATATATGTGTATCGTACGCACTGATAGCATTATTTTGCGCCATTCCAATTTTCAATCAGACGTTTGTGGTTCCTGCTAGTCCCGGAAATTGAAATGGTGTCCCCGATACACATACAAAGTTTAGAAAACCTCTTTACAATACTTTTAATATGGTTTTCCGGTGTGATATACAACTGTGGATTATCCATATACAGTGTGGTAGAATATAGATAGAACAATCAAATAGAGGTTGCGATGTTGCGAGATTGCGATTTGAGCTTCAATGGGTTGCGTATCCTAAACAGAAGAATGTACATGTATGTTCTAGCTTCTAACTTCTTCTGTAAAGATATTCACAAACCGGACACCATGCCTCTTCTAGTCCCACCTTTTCGCAGAAATATACATGTAAAAGTAAATAACAGTAAAATGAAACGTGATCGTTTATGATAAAGACTAAATGGGGTTTATCTCCTAAAATCCAGATTGAAAACCGGCGGGTAATATTTAATATAAAGTCTATGTTTATCTAATCTTATTGATCCAATCTTACCTGTCAATTTATAAATTTATTGACTGATTCCATTTGATTGAATTATTGATTTATTCACATTTACCGTGCATGCCTGACTAGAGCTTTAAAATGCTCATCTTTGATTTTCTAAATTGCTATTGGATACGGACTACTGAAATGAAGGTTTAATAGCTAGTTACATATAATTCATTGACTGTTCGTAAAACCTTCCACAAAATCAACGAAATTTGTGATAGGTCAATTTTCTATATTAAGTTACAGAACATAACTCCTGATTTTTACGCTATGATGACAGTGTAAAGTGTTGAAACGTTGTGTACAATTAAACTCAGGAGTAGTATACTATATAAACTGAAGTTGACGTTGTAAATTGTTGAAACGTTGTGTACAAACTCAGGAGTAGTATACTATTTAAACTGATGATGACAATGTAAATTGTTGAAACGTTGTGTACAATTAAACTCAGGAGTAGTATACTATATAAACTGATGTTGACGTTGTAAATTGTTTAAACGTTGTGTACAAACTCAGGAGTAGTATTCGAAAAAATTGTGGTGCGTTATTTAATGTGATCTCTACCCGTCAATCTCGCTTGAGGATGAATTTTTCTTGATAGTCAGCAGGGGGTAGAGCCTGTGATCATTTCTGTTATCAGTATTGTACCATATCGTGCACGTTACATGGAGTGAAAAAGCATGTCATTTCATATTCTTCATTTCAATCTAGGCTTATTTATTTTCTTTATTTTATAATCCGTTTAAAAGATTTAGATCTGTATTGAAAGTGTTGAATAACCGTTTTTAATAAATGACTCTACTTTCACTTTACACTTGAAGTTGTGGCTGAGTCAATAGTCGCTTAAATCAATAACAAAATCAGATACGTATCGCTTACATCCTTAACAATAAACCAGCTCATTTATTATATCATAATATATTATGTCAACAAAATACACCCTGGATTATCTGCCCTTGTTTATAACTTCAAAGTTGAAGAAAATTAACACAAAATTATTTCAGTTTACTATTTTTATTATTCAATTAAGCTCAAGATTTTTCATTAATTTTTGTATTTGAGGAAAAAGTCCCGTCTGTTAGATATTGCTCTTCAGTTGGAAATAAACGATGAACATCACTGCTTTCACATCCGTTCGCTCATTTCAGACTACATTACGTTGCGTATATTATACATTGCGTAAAACTTCATTTCATTTCTTCAGCCATTCCTAACACAAAATCAAGACGTTTCAGAAAAGACAAATTAGTCTCCCGCCGCCATTGAGAATAGCTAGTAACTTTTAAACAACTCTCTGGATCACTCACTATGGTATCTCGATGTCTCATTATAGGCTAGAAGAGAACTACAGTATCTGTGAGGGTGTGTGTCTACCAAGATGTATTCTCTACGCTCACTATCTGGATTTCTGTCGCCGAGAGACACTGGAACCGGCTTGTGCTGCTACGTTTGGAAAGGTTTGTTAATTATATGAATACAGACAGTGTTTATGGATGCTACGGAAGCTACAACCTTATTTCTATTAATTATAATTGACTATAGTTTTTCACGTGTTACGAGTATAAAATTCTTAACAGGATGATTCAGCTTAATATAGGTCATTTTGTATGCAAGACTTCTGGCGCTTGAACAAAGCCACCGACCTCACTAATTTCACTGGATTGCATATCAGTGGCGGACCCAAGGAGGGGGGGGGGGGGTCGATATGTGAAAGTCTGCTTCGTCAATATGTTGTCTCAGATTTCGGTTTTTTTGCGGATCGAATCGTTAGTACTTGGTTTATTAATTCTTATTTTAATTTTAAGACAATTCGACAGAAGTTTCCTCACCTCACAACAAGAAGATTGGGAACTAGGGGACATTCAAAGTAAGCTGTGATTTTTTAATTTTAGCTGAATTTTTGAATCAGCTGACTCTAGTCTCTAAAATGTGTTTTCTTCTTTCATTTCAGGTCTTTTAAATAGTCATTTGATTTCTGACCTTTTAGAGATGATAAAACTATCGTTTACCACCCCGTCCCCGACCCTCACTTCTGAAAGAGTGTTTGCGGAATTGATTTCCTCTCAAGAGACTACTTTTGTTGATAATGTTAATCAGGGAATGCAACTTCCGGAAAACTTCGAGATGATTTTGTGTTTGTGCTATGAATGGGGAAATGGGTAGTCAGAGAATGATGTATTTTTCTTTTTGTACAGGTATCATTATTATGAGTATAGTTAAATAATGATTTTGTGCTATGGGTGGGGACATGAGTAATCAGAGAATGGTGTTTTTTCTGTTATTACAGGTATCATTATTATGGTATTGGAATCAGAGAAACTAGTCAGTATTATCATTCTGTTTATTCTGGTAAAGGTCTCACTAGGTATGAAATAAATACAGTTTATAATTCTTTGAAAATTTGAATTGAAACAGATTTTTTGTGAAAGACAAAACTGATAAATTTATAAATTTATACGTCTTAAACCAGGAGTCACGTGCTGTAAAAGTGTTCAATAGGTTTGAGTAAATTGCAAGTATTTTGATCATCTCAATGCGTTAAGTAACAATGGAACTAGTATTGTTCATTTGTAGACAAAATTTATTATTTTATAACTTATAGAATTTAGAATCTCTGAATCTAGTAGACAAGATTCTATAAATTTTATTTTCTATCTTTTGCAGGTTTTCTGGAGCAAAGTTAAAGAATGAGGTAAACTGTTATTTCTGTGTTTTTATCAACATTGGTGTATCGATTCAGAAATACAGTATACGTGTATATAAATCGACAGGCTCAAAAGTAAATCAAAAGCAAAATTTATATTTCTAACGTATTCCAGAGCTGTATTTGGGTTTAAGCAAACCTACGGGCTAAATACTTGTATAATTGCAAAGTAGAAATATTTTCGGTGATGTTTTACACCTCCCGTAGCTACAGTGAGTGTTATGTTTTTAGGGTGGTTTTACGAGGAAATATTCTCTGAGTTCTAAAACTGGAACTTTATTGCCAGACTTCCCCAATGCAGAGTTCCTGATTTTACCCTTAACACTTTCCAGAGAAAAGGTGAGTTTTTAATTAGTTTAATTCAAATTCAGATACCAATCTGGACTATTTGAAGCAAGAAACCACCGTCAGTACTTGTATTTTTTCAATTTATCGAATAGAAAAATAGATATTGTTAAGTCGAAACACAGGAATATTTGGGGGTTTGAGGTTTTTTTTTAATAAGTTAACAGAAAAAAAAACAGTTTTTTCTAGCTTGTGAAATTAAGCTTGTCAGTGTCGGCTTTTTTTAAAAATATAATTTATCAGGAGGCTCTACTTACACTGATCTTCAGTCGTACAATTTAATCTTTCGTTTCAGAAAATAAATCATATCAGTTTAGCATATTGAATTTGAGTTAACCATTAATTTGAAATGGAATGATAACAATGACGTGGACGATGATAATAAAGTAGATTTTAAAACGAGGCAGATTGTCACCCCCTATCTTATCAGGGTAGAGTAAACAATGTTTGTTGACTCGCCTCGATGTGAAATCGTGGTTTATAAAAGGACGAGCCAATCTATCATCAATTAATCAAATGTTTTCGTTCCATTTTAAACTCCAGTTGACAACTTGTACGTTATATATCAAACGACAACGCTAATAAATTATCGTATGCCTTTCCCTTAGTCAAACCTGTTCCGCGTTTAGTGAGGATCTATTCTGAAAATCTTGTCAATGTTAACTTGTTTGACCGCATTGTGCGAAATCCTTTATCTGGCCTTCACAGAGCCCATTTCTCGTCCATTCGCCATCGCTACTTGCTACATCTGTTCTAAATTAAAAGGATAACACCTATGTATTTTAGCGCGATCTGATCGTAAACAGTTCAAATGATTTATCTGATTATTTCTGGTGAAATCAGAATGTTTAGAAGATAAGTTGACATATTTGTTTCGTTATTTTTTGCATTGACAGTTCCTCTTTTGCCTTGACTTACGGAAAATTCCGAGAGGTGCCGAAAATTGCAGCTGGAATAAAGAGGTCGAGTCCAGTATCAAAGTTGCATCGACAGCATAGTTTTTACAGTCTCTGTATACTCAGTAACACAAGCCGTACTATTGTTATTTATACGTTTTTGCGAAAATATTTTTCACAAACAGCTACTGCCAGATGGCTTCAAATCTGGTGCAGAGAATCTTGAATTGGCATCATGACATATCTTTTTCTGGTCCATTTTCCGAAAAAAGCTGCCGAGTTGACAAAGTCGCATGCACATGTGTTGCAAATATGCTGTACAAGGTATTACTGCTCAATATATATGTTTTTAATGACATGACATCCCCCCACCCTCTTTTCCAATTAGATGTCAGACGTCACAATGATTTCACATCAAACGTCCTGTCATTGTCTTAATTACCTACCACTTTACAATCTCGCCTCGTCTCGCTCCTTCACGACAAATCTCGAGAACATAATTTATGACAGGCGCGTGCAGACGTCTAGGTCCCCAGCGACGAAAACTTTCATATTTGAGGCGCCATGTTGGATTGTTTGTAGTAATGAGTGATTAAAACGTTTGAAGTTTTTTAAATGAATATATCTTTAAACTGGACACAATGTTTCAACCTTGTTTGTATATGAATAAACGATCAAAGGCTAAGAACACTTTAAAACCCAGACGTAGAAAAAGTCCTAAAAAGGGATGAGTTCATACATTTAGATTGCATTTTAGCAGTTACGGCGCCAGTGGGGGCACAGTGGGGGTCCTAGAAAAGAGGTTTGGACAATTGTACCCCCACTATATTTTCAACAAATCAAAATGTCTACCTTTTTTCTCCAAAATATGTGTCAGAATGCACAGAATCAATTCATTTTTTCTAAAATTTTCTAGAGAGAACTCTTTAGGACGTTCTATGAGAGGCTTGCGACTATGACATCGCCACAGAGTAGCCAAACGTTGAATTCAGCCTTAGCAATTGTCCCCTCCCCCCATTGAGTCAGTCTGCCCCCTATGTGTACTCCCCAGTCTCGGAAGGCTGGCGCCGCCACTGGATTTTACCCATATTAGTCAGTAAAATACAGAAATGTAAAGTCTTGGAGAACTGAAGAAAAAAAAACATATTTCTTATGGCTCTGAATATTTTTACATCGCAATATTACGACAACCAAGCGATAAAATGACTCGCCCCAGACGACACAAAGTTTCGTTCAATTCATTACCGAGGCAGAATTAGAAGGGCTAAACCGAGATCCACCGGTTGTAGTACATAGTACACGTATTTACATAGACGGTTCATATCCAGGGGCCTGTTTCACAAAAACTGAATTTAGAATGATTTTAGTATTCTATTGATCTGATTGGCCAAAAGCTAAAATCAATTATAAGTTCAGTTTTATAAGTCAATCAGAAAACTTAATTTCTTAAAATTTTTGTTGAAATTTAGTTAAGATTTTGTGAAACAGGACTCAGATCTCTAATTCTGTTCTCTCTTGAATTTTTCAGATAGAAACGTTTATTATGATGTATAAAACACACTGTCAATGTATTTTAGATACAGCTATCAATTCTAATTTTGAAGAGGTAAGTAAACTTCGTCTTATACCGTGACTAGAAAAGCCCCCTTTCTTGTATCACGGAATGCAGCGATTTGATTGGATTGTACACATGCTAATACAGCTAATCAGAGCCCTCGACAGAAAGACTACAACATATAAGTCATAATAATTACAGCCTGTCGAGGGCAGTGATTGGAAATATTAGTGAGCATACAATCCAATCAAATCGCTGCATTCCGATATAATAATAGTGGCTACTGCAGTTCGTATTGCTTGACATTGTGAAGAGGTGAAGAAAGGAGGATATTGCAACTGCGTCTTATACCTTGACATGGGAATATGTTTGAAAGATATGGAGAGAGTATTAAATGTTGGAAATCAGTGTTTAGTGGGTATCATGATACCTTTTCCATTTGACAGTAAGATTGATTCAGCAGTGACTAATGTCTTACCAATTCTGATTGTCACCTTGTAGATCCAGAATTTCTTGTTACATTTCTGGCAAGGTTTACCAGAACATCTGCTCCCCCTGGTGGATAATGACGTAGTGATTGATATTATCTGTGTTTGTGATTCAATACTATATAAGGTAGGATTATAATATCACGCATGTCCTTTTAGCAAAGGTACGATGATTATCCGCATCTAGCTACAGGAACATGGATATCACCTAACTCTGGGTTATATTATATATTTTTAATATCACGAGGAGAAACAACTTAATGCACATACAGTATCCAAAATCGCCACCCATAAATCAAAAGCCTCAAACATTCTATATTAATAAGGTGGATATGAAACGAGTCCATACGTAATTCCGATCTTTCAAATCACGAGGAGAAAAACTGATAATCACTTATCCCAATCACAGTCCTTGTGACAAAATGCTCAAGCCGACAATGTGATTTAAATTTTCTTTGTAGGTGCTTACCGAAGTCCTCATTCCATCAACAATGCAAGAAATGCCAGAAACGTAAGATATGTTTGCTTATTGCATGTAAGATTTGCACTAACTAGTCTTGCAGCAGAAGTTCTGAGTCATTGATTTTTGTGCCGTAACATCACAACTATATATACTTATTTAGGTACATATTCAAAATCTATATTCAGAAGCATTTGCGTACATCCATTTAATTTTTCTATTTTAGTTTATTATGTGACATCAGAAATTTCGCCAAACATTGGGAAAGTTGGATCTCATCTGCTCTCGAGAATCTTCCAGAACAATTGTCAGATGCTAAACTTCCGGTTGCCCGACGTTTTGCTCAATCTTTAAAACGTCAGACCTCATTTCTTCATCTGGCACAGGTGGGTATATGCTTGTGCGCATGTCACATTCGATGGTTTGTGGAAGGTAGGAAAAACTAGCCGTTAAACGAGGCCTACCCTGAGTTGTTATAACATTATAACTCCGTGTCGCCTCCAGTCTTTATAACCCCATGTCGCCTCCAGTCTTTATAACCCCGTGTCGCCTCCAGCCTTTATAACTCCGAGCCACCTACAGTCGTTATAACCCCGTGCCCCCTCCAGTCTTTATAACCCCGTGTCGCCTCACAGTCGTTATAACCCCGTGCACCGTCCAGTCTTTATAACCCTGTGTCGCCTAACAGTCGTTACGACCCCGTGCACCGTCCAGTTGTTATAACCCCGTGCCCTCTCCAGTCTTTATAACCCCGTGCCCCCTCCAGTCTTTATAACCCCGTGCCACCTACAGTCGTTATAACCCCGTGTCGCCTTTTAAGTCTCCTTGATCTAATGAGCTTCAGAAAAGAAAGCAGGAAGTAAAACTACGTTACATTCTATTTCAGACAGCTCGACCAGTACTGTATGATGCTGAACTAGTTAACCAAATGATTGATGACGTGGAAAGAATAGATCTGAATTCCATTTCTAGTCAGGTCGTTTGTAACCAGTCCGACTGCGACCAAGATCTAGAACTTAATACTGAATGTAAGTAATCGTAGTCGTAATACTGGTAATCAGCCCTATACGATCGGGTTGCATTTCTAGTTGGGTCGTATGTAATCAATTGGGCCAAGATTGAGAACTTGATACTGAATGTAATTAAACGTAGTCGTATTGTTTGTAATCAAAACGACTGCGACCAAGATCTAGAACTTAATACTGAATGTAAGTAATCGTAGTCGTAATACTGGTAATCAGCCCTATACGATCGGGTTGCATTTCTAGTTGGGTCGTATGTAATCAATTGGGCCAAGATTGAGAACTTGATACTGAATGTAATTAAACGTAGTCGTATTGTTTGTAATCAAAACGACTGCGACCAAGATCTAGAACTTGATACTGAATGTATTGTTTGAAAAAAAATCATAAAACAATGTCATTTCATTATCCGGTTCCAAGCCGCACCGAACAGCCGATGCCGTATAAGAAAACGTACTTAAATGGATTTTTTAAATTATTATTTTGAATAGTTTTAAAGGAATTTAAAGAGATATTAAGAAAACAGGCGACGGTTGAAGCTTTTACAGAATGGTTGGATATAGTGGTAGAACAAAGGGTAATCAAGGTAGGGCTTTAATGTATGATGTCTTTGGGAGAAAGGGGGAGAGGGTAAGCAACAGTGGTGGTGCCAGTGGGTATACAGAGGTGGATTTGCCCCCCTACAAAATGGTTTCCGCCCCCAATTTTACCTGCAAATTACTTGTAACAAATTCAAAAATATGATTCCAGACTGAATCAGAATGAATCAGAATGAATCAGAATGAATCAGAATGCTCCAAATCAATTCTATTTTTCAAAATTGAGCGAGACGTTCTTTGGGAGGCTTGAGCCTGTGTAATAGAACCAGCGGACTCATTATCTTGTACTTAGTAAATAGTCGTTCGGATGGGACAATAAACCGAGATCCCATGTGCTAAAATCTGTACACGTTAAAGATCTCTCTAAGTTGGAAATCGAAAAAGAGCAGGCTAATGGCGCTGTCCTAGCAAAATTTCTCTCATTGCATCCTGCATGGCGTTGGTCGTTTTCATTAGCCCACATGGTGCAGAAAGGTAGGATGGAAAACTCCATTCATTTCATTTCACTGTATTTATCAAAACATCTGCAATCCACAGGTTTAGCCTCCGAAATAAATTCTCCGTTAATCGACAAAGATAGGCCAATAATCAATAATATGTAATTTATGTTGATATAAACCTGGTTGTAACCCATCTCTCCCCTCTATACCAACTTTCAAAACTTTTAAAAGATAAAGAATCAATGTTGACAAAACTTATTAGATTTTGACAGTTAAACTTTTTAAAAATTTTGTCGTGTGATTAAACTATTGTTTTTATGTTGATTTTAAAGATAAGATATTTTCCCCAAGATTTAGTCAAGGTCTAAAGTTCAATTTTTTCTTCAATTTTTATAAAATGACTCATCGAAAGTAGAGAGACCAAGACGCGAATAGGTATTATCGATAATGGACGGGTTTGAACTCGAGAAGGCACATAAACAGGACCTTTCGACGAAGATCCTTAAAGTTTGTGGATTTCACCGATATGATTCACCAAGATAAAACAGTCCCAACTTTCTTTTCGTTTTTTTATTAGTTATTTTTAGTATAGCCACTAACGACCGGACTCTTAATTATGCTTGAAATAGCACCGACAAACTATGGCTGCCATGAATTACCGTAATATGTTGCAGATTGCCACGGTTGGTTGTTTGAGCGCTATGGTGATGTAAATTTGTATTTCAGCCAAGTAAACAGAATGGTAAATGTTTTAGAAAGAGGGCTCAAGATTATTTGTTAAAATGGTCGTTTTTCGGGGCCAGGGTAATGCATAACCTCACTTTAAACAATGCCACGGGTTTTGGTAAGTATTATAACTCATGTAGATAGCATTTTTACAACTTTGATAATTCGGCAACACTCCGCAGCGTGGGTAAGGCTGAATCTGTCATCGGCAGTTTCCGTAAAGCTGAATCTGTCTCGTTTATGACCATTCGGCAATCCTCGGCAGTTTGAGTTAAGTTGAATCTATCTCGGAAATGACCATTCGGCAATCCTCGGCAGTTTCCGTAAAGCTGAATCTGTCTCGGCAATGAATGGTACATTTCATTGTGTCTTCTTGGGCGAGATTCTTTACTTCCAGCATTTCACACTTTATTTGTCATATGATAGTAAAACTACAGGCCAGTATGACGTAAAACTCCATTCTATTTCATTATATTGTAGGTTCGTTCCATCTTATCCGTATGTTATTAGACGAGTATGTTTTACTGGCTATAGAATCTCAGTTACATCTAGAAAAAGACGAGGAATTACAGAATTTACTACACAAACATCTAAAACCAGGTAAGTTAAAGCTACCATGCATGGATTAGAGTATACTTTGATGATAAAAACAAGTTCATTGGTCGGACACTGTTTTGCCATTGATTCACTATACACCATAACTTTGAGCACAGCTTTATTGATTGGCGACCAAAATATCAAATAGTATTTAATGAAGTCGTTTTTTTTATATTTCATGATAGCTATAAATGAATATAAATGTTTAAAAAGGTAATCTACGCTATTTTACAGACGATACTGGTTCAAAGCCCAATCTGTCTCAAGCACCGAGTACATGTTTTGTGGCGACCACAGCCCGGAATAATCCACCTCGACCAGGGGTTTTACCCGCTATTATTAAACGAGAACAGTATTTAGATCCAGCGTATCCTACTGCCTTCAACCCCTCATTTAATAATGGGAGAGAACCGTTTTCAATCTCATCTCACCTGTCTTCGCTTTCTTCCATAACTCAGGTAGGTGCCAGGTACACACTTGTAAAGAAGCTCAAATAACATTTTGTTTATCGTGAACACTGATAGCATCGATTTGCACCATTCCAATTTTCAGTCTGACGTCTTTGGTTCCTGCAAGACCATTTGCGATAGTGAGGTCATGAACGCTTGGTTTTGTGGAATTTCAAGAACCACAGATGCCTGACTGAAAATAAGGGGATGATGAATGGTAAAAGAGCAGTCAAAACACTGACATTTTTCGGGTCCTTAAAAATAGAGGACTGAAAATTCACCCTCACTCGGTTAGTTTTATGCTGTTAATACTCATTTCATTGATATTTTTTCAGTCTGTACCAGGAAGCAATGCGATCCTGACACCCCCAGTTTCCCCTATTATACCTAATCCAATCAGAAAGCCAGTATTGAATCAACCAAGTTTACAGTTTAACAATGGCCATCATCAGTCTTCTTCGTACCCTTATCTTCGTAAGTTTTTACCCTAGTACCAAAACCCCAATTTCCCATATTGTACCAAAATAACCCATTGAGCTCATTGTTTAAATAACATCCCAGTTTTCGTACTGCACCAACCATCCCGATTCCCTCTACTTAAATGGCATCCCCAGTTGTCCACTACTGTTCAGACAGCGACACAGTTTTCCCTGGTGTTCAGACAACGACACAGTTTTCCTTTGTGTTCAGATCGCACTACGGTTCCCTAATAGAACAGCACACTAGAGTTCCACCGTGTACTCACAAGAGTCCCTTTCTAATTTCCCTCGTGTCTTCTAATCCACTGACGCACGATGATTTCCTTGCAACTTGCAACTTAAAAAACAAATGAGTGGGCGTCAGTGAGTCTGCTGTTAGAGAGAGTTGTCTGTCTTAGAGGGGAACGTCAATTCATCATTGATATTTAAATTTCAGCTCAACCCAACAATTACAATAGTTCAAACACCGGAAGTCTGCTGGGCAGTTATAACACCGGAAGTTATGATCCACCGACATTCCGGAGCAATCACTATAGCAACCAATCGTCATTTTCTTCATCGAAAGATCTAGATCCATACATCTTTCCAGATCAGCCATTTCAAGGAGACCCGTTTTACTCAAGTTCGTTTAATTATCCTTCCACCGGAAATATCAACTATCCTTCCGGAAGTGCACATTGTCAGGGTAACAGCGGAAGTGCGTTCGATGTTGTATCAAGCTCCAGTTATTTTAATTTACCGCCTTCTTACAGTTCAACAGGTGAGTGAACGAAAAGATCTTATGTACGAGAACCATTTCACTGACTTATATGTCCGTATGACCCAGATTACCTCGGAACCAAGAACCAACGTCCATGCAGTGGCTCAACAGGCTCAATCAGTCCCTATGATAGTTGAGCCACTGTGTCCACGGAAGGCAACATAAACATACGTCGTACAAGTATGTTGATTGGCCAGTTATGAAATCATGGCAGTCTCCAACGTCTTGACGATAAGCTGGATTATCTTTATTTCTTAGCCTCTATTATCCAGACCTTCGTTGTCTATGCTTCGTAGACAGGGGAAGACTGGGCGTCAGAGACTATTATTTCTGTGTCTTAACGTCATACACCGACTAATAGCTAATATATAAGTTGAACTCCTATTTTTACAGACATATACTCTGGAGTATATTTACCACCGAAACCACTGGCCGAGCACGTATCTGTCATACAGCCTAGAAATCCCCTGGTACCACATTACCACTCCGACCATAGAACACCACTGTCATACCACAATGAACCCCGAACACCGCTCAGCTACCACACCGATCTCACCGACCCCCTCAATATACTAGATAAACCAATCAGACACAGGGAAAGTGTTCTAGTGTTTGGTGGTAACCATGGCAATAATTCAACACCAGGACAGAATCAGCACCTTGGTAAGTATTTTATACCTGTATCGTCATGCAAACCCAGAAGCACAACTACATTTACTACTTCATTGACAGCATAATTTGTCATTTTCTGGCGTCAAATCATCAGACTTATGGCAATGTCTCAGAGCCTTATAAAGATGTTTTCATTATTTCAGGGTCACACAATGTTGGAGATGATTTCTTAACAATAGGAATGCTATCAGGGGATCCAGATTTAAATTTTACCGACCCGGAGCGCCCTCTACCTTCTATTAATACAGTGTTTGAAGCCCATAAACCTTGCTATTAAGGACGTTATTGGAAAAGCCATATATTTAATACCTGCTGGTGCGGACAGTAAGGAAAGGGCTACAATATTTTCAGTGCTGCCCATAAACCTTGCTATTATGGACAACATTGAAAAAGCCATAGATTTAATACCTGGTTTTGCGGACATTGGTGGAAGCGTTACTATGTTTTCAGCGCTGCCCTTAAACATTGCTATTACGGACACCATTGAAAAAGCCATAGATTTATCTGCTGTTGTGGACAGTGCTGAAAGGGCTACTCTGTTTTCAGTGCTGCCCATAAACCTTGCTATAAAGGACGTTATTGAAAAAGCCTTAGATATACTGGGGTCGAGCACAGTTGAGAAATGGCTATTATAAGTGAACTAATTCCAATGAAACTTTCAAATACGGACAGTCTAGATAAATGATCACGGAATTTAATCTAAAACAAAAAAGTGTATGCAGCGTCACGAATATATCTCTTACTCCTCGAACAATCAAGTCTGGCTACGGGGTAGCTCCCAATAAAAGATGATGGTGGCCTGATTGGGGGGGGGGGGGGGGGGGGGGGGGGGGGCTAGTTCCCAAAGATGATGGTGGCCTGGATTTTATGTGAGAGTGTGCAAAACTTTTCTCATGCACTGAAAAGGCCACAGCCATTATCATTTTATATAGTGAAAGATTAGCTTGTGGCCCCCCTGGAAAATTTTTGGCCCCTGCTCGGCTCCCTCACCAGATGTTTCCCAGAACCGCCACTGTTATCAGGAACAATTGGCATGGGGGATGTATGTTACCAATTCCAATGCAATTTTTATGAGTGTACAATGTTAAGATTTTTTGTATTCTATTTATAGTAATGAACGAGTGTAAATTAAAGTAAATGTCGGATTGACTTTAGCCTCTAGCATCCAGTCCTATTGTCTGCGACGAAAGATAGACAGAAGAAGTCTGGGCGTCAGAGACTAATTGACTTATTAACTAATTGATTGCTTTTCATTGAATTTCACTTTTTTGTTCGTTCAATTCTAGAAGACGACACAGCCAGTTCTTTCGTTGCAAGGTGAGCAATGACAACAACTGCAATTTCCCGTCGTCCATGTTTTCAGGTTGATATAACCAAGTGATTGATCAGATTTATTAGATGTCGCAAGTTGCTAGCAGTCGTTGAATCTACCATTCAAGAATCTACCATTGGCAAGGTTGACCTTTAAGTTGCCCTCACACTATAGAGATCACCAGTTGAGTTTGGTTTCGAATACGGGTTATAAATAAAAACTCACAACTCAGTTACATGAGAGTTGCGTTCAGAACTTATGACCGTTATTCTTATTCTCAACTGTACACAATTGGTGATCGTTATTATGCGAAGACACCTTAAATAATTGAATTATCTTTTGAGCTAGTGAGCTTCAAAGCGTCTTATACACATTGAAGGGTATGACTTGAGAGAATATCAAGATACAACGCACGACTCCATTGCCAAAAGGTCATAACAATCAAACAAGGCGATTATCATTTCACCCCAAGGGTCATTGCTTAAAAAACTGACCAAGTAATTTAAGTTTATTATGTTTTATTTTTGGCTATATTACATTTGATACAGAGAGAGGATTTCCATTAAAATAAGCAACAAGAACGATAACTCTTAAAATAAACCAACAAAAAGGGAGATAACCGGATATAGCAGAATGATATGACGTCATGATATTATGCTGGTCGTGATTTGTACAATGATTTCATGTGGACGGATAAAATTATGAAATGTATTATGAAGAGTGTCAGAAAACGAAACATTATTATTGACTGTAACCCATTTCAAAACAACCTAAACAGTAAACGAAAAAACAATACCCATTGGAATACCCAATTGATTGCAGGTCCAAGCACAGTTAGTAAAGCTGTACAGTTTGTGCTTTTGGAAATTTGCATAATCTCAAATAAAGAAAAAATACAAAATACAACAGACGATAGGTCAAAAGTTGAATAAAAGCAAAATATTAAAGAGATAATGTCGTCTAAATAAAATCGACTTAACAAAATCCCAGTCATGGAATAGTAAAGTTGTAACGTAAATAATTAAATGACTTAATCCCTTGATAACAAATTGCAATACTACCATTTCTATAAAAATGACTATTTGATTAAAGTGCAATTTCATATTTTCGTTTCGTTTTTTTCTTCTGAATTTTGTACGTTGTCGTTCATTAACAATATTATGATCAATAAAAAGAAACGAAACATTAAAACTGCATTTTGACCACAATTTGAAGTTTCACAACCAAACTATTGTTATTAGAAATAGAACAAGTTGGAAAGCACGTGTCCTCTGTCTTATTTAAAGCGACAAGGAGGGCGTACTCGCACCCTTCGTCATTAAATCGAGGTATCTTCGGGGGTATTATACATTACAACAAATAGCCCTGCAGATCAGTTAGCAAAATATTACCAGAGTTCTTGTATTTTTCTACTGAAGAATTGTCATATCAATAGATCTGCGTTCGGATTTTGTTATAGGGATGTCTTCGATAAACTATTAATATGACAAGTCGTTCAGTAGAAATTCATCAAAAGGCTAAAACCTGTTTACTCACTGAACGCAGGACAAGTAACAGCCATGCCTTCAGTAAGGTAAACGTTTCCTAAGGTTTTCTTCTGTCTGCAGAATCTGATATTTCAATATCTAACCTTATTCATTTAAAAAATGAACGCAGGGCTGTTTTCAAATCTTGAGATACATGATATTGCACAGTTTAAATACGACTAGGTCCAGGGGGTGAATATCTAAAACTTTTCCTTTAAATAAAATATCTTATCTACAATCGTACGGATATTTCTGATGGGATCTTGTAAAATGTTAATTGTCGAATCTGTTATGAAAATGTATAGCATAGCATAGCATTTTGACAAAAAGAATTGTAAATTTGTAAACTTAAAAGATGAGACAAATATAAAAAATAACCAAGTTGACAAAGAAAACCTAGAGAGGCGCATTAATTCTGCCAGAAAGGTAAGCAAACCCTGCCTCGTAAGAAAAAACGCACCAAACCTGTCAGTGCTCAAACGAGTAACTGAAAATGTTTTCAGATAGCACCTCACCGATATCAGATAGTACATTTACTAACTGAAACATTCCATTCAAAGGGATCGAATAAGGTTCTTTTAATTGATTATGTGTATCGTTAACACTGATAGCATCAATATACACCATTCTAATTTTCAATCAGACTTCTGTGGATCCTGCAATTCCACTAAAACTAAGTTTTTGTTGACGTCACTAATCGCAAAATATTATCACAGGTGGCGATTTATGACGTCATCAAACACTCAGTGGAATTACAGGAACCACAGAAGTCTGATTGAAAATTGGAATGGTGTAAATTGATGCTATCAGTGTTCCCGATAGATAAAAAAAGATTTCGGAAACCTTTTTACAATCCCTTTAAAAGTGATATCCATCTGGAGAGTCTATTGAATACAATACCAATCATAGATGAACATTGTACTACATTGTGCAATATTTGCAGAATCTCAAATCATCTATATTTCCCATACAAGATATTAAAGTTCATAACCGTTTGAGCACTATACACTGCGCCAAGGAATACGACTAAGCAAAGATTATTTTGAGGTAAAAACCAGATAAAATATTGAGTAAATTAAAGCTCATAAAATGGTCGTTAAAATATTATTATGTGACTAAAAATCGTATTATTTATAAATTTCCATAACCAAAATAAGAAAATAAACTTTTTATATACAATAAACGTAATAATTTTAATATCATGAGAACTAGTTTCAGTTTTAACCAATCAGAATACAGCATAACTAAACTGACAATAGATTCTTGAAATATGATTGGTTGCTAAATGTAGAACTTGAATTTCAACCAGTCACTAACAACTTGGGTTGTCAAACTCGACAATCAAAATAGAAAATTACGTAAATTTCAACCAATCATATACAACGAAAGTTGTCATGTGATTGGTTGAAATTGAAATTCGAATTGAACCAATCATAGCTCAGTTATCCACATCCGATATTGGCTCAGCTTAATCTGATTGGCTAAATTTTATCACATCGAAAATTATATTGCATTTATATCATTATCCGAAAAAAAACGTAAACATTTTTTCCATTTTTATATCACTAAAACATTTTTAACAGCACTATTAAATTGGGTGAGACATCGCCATCTTATTTACGAAACGATTTTACATAAAATCCAAACAGTAGGGGAGAGTTGGATATTTCAATCTTAACATCGAGGGCCGAAAATACCCACTCTCCCCTATATCAAATCAGCAGTTAGAAAATATGTTAGCACTTTAATTTAAAAACAAACTTTGTACAAAATGGTTTTCTAGAGGTGGATTGACTGAGGGGCTATAGTTCTCTACCATTACAAAATGGCGTCTACCACACTTCCGGTACATTCGGAGACACGTAATAGTCTGGTTGCAGTTGTGTCCCTTTGTGCCATACCTAAGTCTGATATGCCACGCCCCTCCAGTCACTCCCCACCCCCATGTTTTCCCCAACCCCTAACAATAACGAAATCACCAAAGGAAGCCCTAGCGTCGACAACATGTGCTATTTTTCTTGTCCATGTTCATCTCGTGAAGCTGCATTCCAACTGTTTTTACTTCTAGATCTTCGTTGGTTCTCAGCAGTCTGAAAACAAAACAGGTGAAATATTTGAAGGGCTACGTAGCAGTGGGACCCTGACAATATGATGGCCTCTAAAAAGGGTCAAAAACGATTATAGATTTGACAACAGGAGGGTGGTTTAAACGACAATCGTAAAATCGAAAAAACATCAGTGACTTTGAAGAGTCATGAATTAGAACGAACAGATATAAGAAAATATTATAAATGGTTCTTAAAAACATTTTAAAAGTCGATCTTGAAAGTTCGGCATAAAACAATCCGGCAACCTTAAAGACATTCACTTTTGGTAACGGATGACTTTTTAGTTTCTGTTTTCTATATACCGTATATTTGAGTGTATTATGCGCAGTTTCTTACCCTAAAAAGGGCTTTGCAAAAAATCCGAAGCCATTGTCGGACAGAACCAAATATGTTCATTGCACATCGGCAAAAATTGTGATTACGAAGAAAGATTGTTGAACAGGGAAACTTTTTTCAGTTTGCATGAAAAAACATACCTCGTAAGTTCTACGACTGCTTCCATTACATGTGAACCATCTTTAGCACTGGCTTCTATAAACAAACCATTAAATTCCTGAAAATATAGCACATATTCTAATTCTAATCTATTCTATTCTATTCTATTCTATTCTATTCTATTCTATTCTATTCTATTCTATTCTATTCTATTCTATTCTATTCTATTCTATTCTATTCTGCGTACGTTCAAACAAAATAAAATTGTACCTAACATAACAGGTTTCTTAGTTGATGACTACAAACTGTCTCTTCCAACAACACAGTTGAATGTTTGTCTAGTTAACTATGATGTAGCTAATGAATTAAAACTCAAGCACCCTTTACAATAATATGAACCCGATACTAAATTCACTTGAGCATCTGATATCAATCTGGCTTACTTAATGATACACGAATAGGGTGCTTAATTTAGAAAGCGATACTGGTATTGGTAGTAGGACTTTAGTTCTGCCCACTGGGAATATTTTCAGAGCATCTTAAATAACGCTATTCCAACCCCTGTTATAATCATTTCAAATCAAGGTTGTCGCCCTTTTGTTAGAATTTACCTTTGCTAGGCGGCGGCCATCTTCTTCTCGGACTGTTCTTCTACCTTGCTGTTCCATCTCAGCCCTCATGTCGGTCTTGTTACCACAAAGCATTATGGGTACATTTTTCTGGGCTCCGTCCTGTGTAACAGACTGCAAGATTAATAACTGCACGTGCCAGAAGTAAAGAAGAGAAAATGGGAGGTAGGGGAATGTAAGCGTGGAAATGATACGAAATGCAGCTTTATGTGCTCCCCGTCAGCTAGAGGACTATATCTTATTGAACTAATGAAATGAAATGGTGTTTTATATCCTACTGTTCTGTATCTTATTGGATTAATGAAATGAAATAGAGTTTTAAATCCTACTGTTCTGTATCTTATTGGACTAATGAAATGAAATGGTGTTTTATATCCTACTGTTCTGTATCTTATTGTACTAATGAAATGAAATGAAGTTTTATATCCTACTGTTCTGTATCTTATTGGATTAATGAAATGAAATAGAGTTTTAAATCCTACTGTTCTGTATCTTATTGGACTAATGAAATGAAATGGTGTTTTATATCCTACTGTTCTGTATCTTATTGTACTAATGAAATGAAATGGTGTTTTATATCCTACTGTTCTGTATCTTATTCGACTAATGAAATGAAATGGTGTTTTATATCCTACTGTTCTGTATCTTATTCGACTAATGAAATGAAATGGTGTTTTATATCCTACTGTTCTGTATCTTATTGGACTAATTAAATGAAATGTAGTTTTATATCCTACTGTTCTGTATCTTATTGGACTAATGAAATGAAATGGTGTTTTATATCCTACTGTTCTGTATCTTATTGGACTAATGAAATGAAATGTAGTTTTATATCCTACTGTTCTGTATCTTATTGGACTAATGAAATGAAATGGAGTTTTATATCCTACTGTTCTGCATCTTATTGGACTAAGGAAATGAAATAGAGTTTTATATCCTACTGTTCTGTACCTTATTGGACTAATGAAATGAAATGTAGTTTTATATCCTACTGTTCTGTACCTTATTGGACTAATGAAATGAAATGTAGTTTTATATCCTACTGTTCTGTACCTTATTGGACTAATGAAATGAAATGGGGTTTATATCTTACTGTTCTGTACCTTATTGGACAAATGAAATGAAATGTAGTTTTATATCCTACTGTTCTGTATCTTATTGGACTAATGAAATGAAATGAAATGTAGTTTTATATCCTACTGATCTGTATCTTATCTGAACTAATGAAATGAAGTTTTATCTCCTACTATTCTGTTCCAAATTAGACTAATGAAATGACACGAAGTTTTATGATCTACTTTTGCTCCTACTTTTAACTTCCTACTTTTCTGTACATTATTTGACCTATGATATGAATTGAATTTTTAAATCCTATATTTCTGATCCAAATTGGTCTAATGCAGATGTTGGTAAGGGTAGGGTTGGCGTGTAGTAAGGTACAGTCAGGGAGTCGTGAAAGTGCGAGGGAAACAATCAGCGTGGTAAAAGCATTGATCAAGGATTTGGGAATAAAGCTCTTTGGTACTGACGGAATCTGGCACGTTATGGTCCCATTTCTATAGGATCCTTGACTTATTACTACATGCACCTTTCTATATAGCATTACAAGAAGTTGATATAAATATAACTATCACGATTTACATGGATATTGGTAGGAAGTTTGATATTCTAGACAATGCCATTTGTTTTCAGATTAAGGGGCGGGCGGAACGCAACTCTCATCAGACCTACACCAAACATAAATTAGAATTGGAATTTTCTGACCACTCGACGGCTACAAACAGTTATTAGTAAGGAACCACCTTGCCATCTCTTCAGCATTTATTTCTCAATATATTAGGACGCTGATTATTACTGAAGACAACAACATGCGCTTACCTCAATGGCTTCCACCCAGTCACGTACGTTTAAGAATGATCTCTCGTAAGTGACGTCATACAATAGAAGAACGCCGTCTGCGCGTCTGAAGTAAGATTTCGCGATACTACGGAATCGCTCCTGTCCAGCCGTATCCCATAACTGTAAAGCAACCGTTCTTCCGTCAACTTCTAGAACCTTGGTCTGAAAGTCAACTCCTGTAAGAATAAGTTTAAAATAATGTTATCAAATATACATAATTACCTATATGAACTCTAAGAAGGGGTGATTAGTTGATAACGTAGTCGCAACTTCACATTCGTTACAAATAGAAAAAGTGAAAATGACCTGCCTCGTTCTGATGCTGCCTTACTACAAAACTACAATTTGGTTACGATTTCAAGAGGCAGTCTTTCATTGAAATCTCGTCCAAAGTATGGCAAAATCGAGAGTAAAAGTTGTATAGTAGTCGACTCCTCCAAAGAGAAGTACCATCAGATGTTTTGAAAAGAGTAAACATGTAATTAATTTTCTTACCTAAGGTTGAGCTCAGGTTGTTCACAAATTTCCCCTTACACAATCTCATGATAAAACTGGATTTTCCCACAGCGGCGTCCCCGGCCAGTACTATTTTATACATTCTTTCTGGTTCTTTGTTTATCTTAGTCTCCATAGCCTACAAATTAAATCAAACATTGAAATTTGTGCTGAAGAAGACGTACAGCAACATGTAGGGTGCAATGAGGATTATTTTGCCCGGACAGCGATTTCCTTTCCAACTGTGAACTGCCGAGGTATTTTAAAGTGAACAGCCAACAGCACACGTGGCCTTCCAAATCTCGTCCAAAGCATGACAAGCGAGAAATACCATCAGGTGTGTCGAAAAGAGTAAGGATGGCGTACAATCCAATCAAATTGCTACATTTTGTGAAACAAAAAATTGGACGTTTGCATTCAAGGTTTAAGATAAATTTAAATACCGAGACCATTGTGAAGATGGACAAATGATGAACCCACCTCTTGTGTTGCTGCTAAATTTCGTTTGGATCCTCGTCCTGCTTTAGATGCCAGACTGCCTCCTTCATCACGTGGTATTGATTTCAGACTTCTGACGGAACCTCGACTCCCCACAGATGACGGTCGTTTGGCCTTTGACCCTAGAATGCTGACAGCTTCCGCTTCCGTCGGACCAACTGTTGATTCTACTTCAGTGTCCATTTCTTCATGGGAATCGTATTCCTGGAAAAACAAATATTATCAATCACTTGACTCATCTAATAGAGAATTTTCTAAATGAAGCAGAAAATTGATGCATTGCAGTCTCCACTATAAAAATACATACTTCAGTTGGAGCAAAAAGACCTCTCGTTATAATTCTACGTCTGTTATGAATCATTATCAGGAATCATAAAAAGAGAAAGAATAGTCCCTTAAAGAGTCAAGTGAAAGCGATCTAGAAATTCGTAGTTCATTTTTAAGATTTCTGACGATATTTGGAAATTATATCTAAAACGGATTACTACCTATGTCATTTTAAAATAAAATTCAAAATACAAACTTGGATCTGAAACTTACCTCGCCTTCTGCTTCATATCCTGTTGCCTTAATTCTCTTCGTTCTCAACTTATTTCGTTCTTCTAAACTTTTGGCGTCGGTGAAATTCGATTCTTCATCTGTGTCAAGGTCATTTATATCTCTCAAGGTCGAACGACCGCTATCTGAAAACCAAAGATGATCAGACAAATTAGAATGATTGACTGTAAAGCACCCAAGAAAGCCTGGAATATTGAATTTCCAGAACTCATAACTTTTGTTTTGTAGAAAAAAAGAACCGATAGCTTTAAAAGGAGGCTACAACAGCTTCTATTCGTTGATCAAACCCCAACTCGAGGCTCAACGTATCTGTAAACTATTTCATTGAATATGCTTTTGGAAAATACCGAACGACCTACCCATATCTTCTGGAACACTTTCAGCACAGCTAAAACTTCTACCATATTTCGGTCGTCCAGACGTAACAGGACTCAAACTATCAAAATTCAGTTCCTCGGCCAGCGAGGAGGTTGGACTAAACGCACGGGCTGATTTGTTCCTGTAATAAAAACTGTGTCATAGAATTTGATTAGTGATGAGGATGGATGATGGATGATGGATGATGCTGATACAGGGGCCTTACCTAACTTAAGATGATTTTAGTATTCCAGTCAATCATTGTAATTGATTTTAAATCTAGTTTTATTATCCAATCAGATTACTGTATTTCTTTAAATCTGGATTTTATTTAAGTTAAGTTTTGTAGAATAAGGCCCGAGATGAGGATTCAGTAGATGATAGTTCTGACGATGGTTCTGACGCTGGTACCAATGCAAAGGAGAATTTTGTTGGGTTATGCTGGTACTTCTGTTATTAAGGTTCGTTTGTTGCGATCAAGATGCTGATCCGGATGACATTGATTATGATGATGAGGATGATGTGAGGAGTTTGAATGTAGATGCTAAAGATGATGTTGACTTACCCGGGCGTGTTGTCGAAATAGTCGCTCATAATCGACCCCTTTCTAGAACTGTGACGTGGTGATGGACTTCTGACACTGCCAGCAGACTGAAACATACATTGAAATATTAATTTATCATGGTAGAATTTAATTGACATGGACTGCCATTAGGAAAGATAAATTACAAGTGAAGACAAGATAATGGTGTCTGTGCTGATGGTGTTTTAAAGTTAGTTTTAATCTAGCTTCGTAATATAATGGTCGTACATGTACTCCGTCTAGATACGTGTATATTATACTCCTGAAGCGGCGTAGTATCTTAATATCTTGATCTTTGCGAAGGTTTTGAGATACTTACGTCATTGGACAGGGAAGAAAGAGTTCGTTTATGGGAAGATTTCACGTTTTCCAGACAATTCCGTAAATCATCACACGTATCATGAAGCTTCTTGTTAGCATCGCTGTAATATAAAATTACTAGATATAGAACAGTTGGCAGGTGCCCGTATATCATCAGGCTTTATCATTCATTTCATCTAGATCGTTCTCGGGTTAGTCATGGGATTCATTCATTGATTTTTTTTCTTCCGAAAGCGGATTTTCTATTCGAAACTTATAAAACACCATGTAAATGACAGTGTTTGTTGTGATCAAGGGCAATAACTCGGACTTACTGTAATTGATGTAACTGTCGTGTTAAATTATCTTGTTCTTTTATATAATCCATAACTGTTTCCTTTTCCCTGAAAGTATTTAAATTAACATTATCTTCAATCGTTTTCTTAAGCAATTTGTGTCCCCTTATATCGCGGGCTGTAGGCAATTGCGTTAATTTGACACATATAACAAGAGACAAAAAGTGAAGTTTTTCGATTCTTATTCTATATCTTAAGCTTGTACACAACCCATGGATACAATTATTACCGACAAAGATGTATATTTCAAATAATTTCGTTTTTAATTCCGTTAATGGTGTATCCATAATTTGTACGTGGCCGAAGAAAGTGGGTTGCGTACAAAGTATAACTAAGCAGAAATATACTTACGTGTCGCATTCGTGACATTTTTCTTTAAATTGCTGTCGAATGGAAGCCAGTTCTGATCGTACTAAAGCCAGGTTGGTCTGGGCGTCTGTTAGTTCACTTTTATATGCCCTCTTTTCATAATCCAGATCGTTCAGCTTGGCTCTTAACTCTAATATTTGTTCTTCTGTTTTATTGCTCTCGTCCTCCATGCCCATCTACAATATGGTTGAAAGGGTTACTTATTTTATAAAAGCCTCGTCCATTATTTCGGGATAATTACACTAATAAAGTTCGATATCTGTTATAAGAATCGCGAACCTCATTATTCTAAATTGTGGATACCAAGTTTGAACATCCAAGCTTTACATCTAACTTTAGTTACTTTTTGTTTTATCCCAGCAATATGATGGTATCAAAACTTCCAAATTATTTTTATATCATTTCCGGAAGATGATCATCCCATATCTCATCCAATACAATATTACACCCTAAAATACTATTGCCAAACATTTTTCCACTGTTTTTATTTTTCATTTTTTCTTCTGAATTTTATCCAAAGATCCCAGAGAATTTTTCTCTTCAGCTAATTTCAGATTATTTATAGTTCAAAGTGTACAGAACCAGAATTTACCTAATTATCAACACACATTTTGTTTATTCAAATAAAGAACTTAAAACTTAAAAGTCCTGTGCCTGTGCTTTCCTAACTTTGTCAAAGTACAAAGTTACAGACTCCCTAACATTCCCAAATTTAATTCACGCCATACCAAAAGTTGTTGCAAACCGATATCATATTTACCAAAAAGATGAATATTCCGAGTAATTCTTAGACCCTATGTTTCTATGAAGATAACTTACAGTCTGGAATTTCTTCAGGTTGCTCTGTAAATGACTGATTTCGGCGTCCATTTGATTTTTTAATTCCTGTTTTTCAGCTTCGAATTTTTCTTCTTGCTATAAATAGAAACAGTCCGATATTATGATATGGTTGGTAGAATTTATTTAAACTTTCAGGATTCTCTGATGGCAGGTAAAGGACTTAAAGATATCAAACGCCCACTAGCAGCTTTGATTTTAAATAAAAAATATTTAGCAGTACAGTAATAATGACCAGTATGAAATAATCAACCTTCAGTCATGTACTTCTTTTGAACTTTCTGGGATGATGATGAACAATATTTCTTAATTTTGTCAAATTCCGGCAAGAATTGCGCCTTCTCGAGTGTTAATGAGTAATTCACGTGTTTTGATGAGAATATGTCTTAAAGGGGGCATATATCTCTAAAATTAGGCGTTTATTTTACTCAAATCCGTACAGTAGTTTTTTAACAGCTTCCAAAAAACATAACAAACTTTAAAAGGTTACGTAATCTTTTACTTAATCTTATAGCATTTAAAAATTACTGGATTTTTTAGTTAAAACTTTTAGATACGTTATGGGATACATTTCTATTGATTTTGTTTCATAGTTTTCAAGAATTTGAGCAAATTCGACCTACAAAAAAAAAGGGAATGAGCATAAAGGCTGACAACCAAATGTGCCACTGTGAGGCAAAATATCGCAGGTTATGATTTGTTGTGGAAAAAGGCAGCGGAAAGGGCAATAAACCATGTGCCTTGATGGGAATAAAAATTAAAGGGTCAACAAGTCTTTGAAAGCTTTGAGAGTATCAAGGGAGATAACCCATGTGCCTTGGTGGCGGGAATACGTATAATGGTCATCAAGTCTTTGAAAGCAGTTAGATCAAAAAGGGTGTGTACCCGATGTGTCATATTATAAATTTCAGAAGATCCCAGACAGACACGTTATGAAAATACAGATGGTGTACCCTTCACGTCTGTATAAATATTTAAAATGGTGATTCATTTCATTGCGACATTCTTCTATAATCGATATTCAAATATAACTACAACCATAGATTTGCTCGATGTGAACTGATAACTCATGTCAGATGGAAGACATCAGGACAAAAAATATCAAGCCATAAAATGTCATGAAATGGACGCTTTAGGAGCACAGCAACAAACATGATACCAAGAACAAATGGTTGTGGACAGCGATGTATATGAGTAACCTATCTGCACCGGTAAAACCTAATAAACAGTTCGGATGAAAACCGGCACCTCAGTGTTCAAAAAGTTTTGATAAATACGGACTAATAAAATTATTCGATGATATCTGTAATCAATTTAACAGCCGGACATAATCATTTTCTGATGTTTACTTCAATATTGGAGTAGTTACCAACAAGATAATTGTAAATTAAATTTCAAGAGCTGTATTCAAATTTGAGTAAACAGCAGCCAGTAGCGAAGAACAATCTAATAGCGTCCACATATCTAAAATGTTTATAAAGGGAGATAACCATCACTGAATTGCTGTTAAATCTTACCTCTTTCCGAACTCGTTCCTCTATTTTCTGTGTCTGTGTTTCAACCTCTTCTTCCAAATGTTGAAGATGTTTTTCATGAATTTCCTTTTCTCTGTCAAACAAAAATAAAGAATTAATTTCCCGATTCATGCATACAAAATTAAACCACGAGCAGATGGTGAAAACTTCATTAGCTGCTACTAACGTTTGGTCAAAATATTGTTTTGGATTTCAGGTTTCGTTTAGCAGTTCGGGTCGTTATAGTTCCTGGTTTGTTCATTTTCCTCATTCAAATATGTTCCTAATTTTCGTTTTGCTTTACAAGCTTGTCATCGTTAGCTCTAAATCTATGTCTAAATCCAAGAAAAATTGTTAAAATAAGCTTAAAACATGCAGAATCTACCTGGCCAACATACACAAATCAGTGTAGAACTATGAGATACCATAGAAAACTATCAGATACCACGGTAAAAATGCTTGGAAAGAAACAAACAATTGAGATCGATTGTATTCTTACCTTCGAAATGATTTTTCCAAGCGTTCATTCTCTGTTTGATAAGTTCGTACATCTTTTATAACTCCTAGTATGATATTCTCAAACGATTCTAATAACTCTGTATTATTACTGTCGTGAAGTTTCTGATACAGTTCACATACTTGTTCTTGACTGTAATCATAAAATAGCTCCATAAATTTTAGAAAAAATTGGATATGGACAAAAGACAAAGATTTTTAAATTCATACTTCACGTTAATTCTTAGTTTGTGTTGTAATACAAGTTGTATTTGTAGGCGTAGCGTCGTTAAACACTGGAATAACTTTGCGCAGGTGACAATATTTCTACTTACCTTTACCTATCAATTCATGAAGGTCCTGTTTTCAAAAGACTTTAAATACGAAACAGGGTTTGGATCATAAATATACTCGACAATGTTCGAGTTAAAATTCATATTAAAACTAAAGACATATTCCATTGTGAGTTTATAACAACAAGGTTCGGGCATATTTTGAAGTAAGTTCACTATTTCAAAACAATAATCAGACACGGAAGATACGGTGAACCAATATTTTCAGACAGTATACAAAAACAATTCAATTAAGAATGGTTTCAGAACAGTTGCACATTAAGTTGAAGTTAACGCAAAGTCATAACACCCATCCAATAGAAATCCATACGAGCAAGATAGTTCTGTTAATCAAAATCTTGTCCAAGGAATGGCAAAATCGAGAGTAAAAGTTGTGTAGTAGTGGACTCCTCCAAAGAGAAGTACCGGTACCAAAGATTTGACATTTTGATATAGAAAATGGTCATTCAATAGATTTAAGTAAAGAGTCCGAAACTTTGTCAGATGTTTCACAAGAACAACTACAAGAAGAAGGTCGACGAGGAACACAGAAATAATTATCCTGCTTTTGAAGACACAAAGTATCTCATTAAAAGATTCAAGAACTTGCATTCCAACGACGTTCAACTCTAAGTTGAAACAATCAACGTAATGAAGATAAGAAAGTAATGATAAAAATACAATGAAAGAAATATGTTACCAATATTGTTTTAACTACAATCCAAGGTCGGAGTAAATCTATATTTTACCAGAGGTTTCCAGTTTTAAAACTGGGTTCAAAGAAAATTTCGCTCAAGTATGGAATTCATGACCTCTCTTATTATTTCAGTTCTTAGTTATTGTCTGTATAAAACAACATCCTGATAACAGTTGCACCAAATCAGTCTTTAATCTAATCTAAACCAAGCTTATTATGTTATGTTTTTTTTGGGGGGGGGGGGTATTCTTTTTGGGTATTTTATTTCATTTGTTTGGAGCCAATTGTGGTACGATACAACCTTCACTTATTACATTATTACTCGGGAGAAACCCAATCACGTAGTAAAAATCACCAAAACACTAACTGAGACGATTTACCTGAGTCTGTTTCTATGACAACATGACTCAAGATTAAGGAATGTAGATAATTGTGAAATGATTAAAATCGTTAGACACAAGCTGTCGTTAAGTTGATGTCAAATTTTGTCGTTTGTTCTGTCAAATCTGACGACAATAAAAATAGATTTTTTACACAAACTACGAATGTTGATGAAAACGTGAAAAAGGGTGAAACTATATGAGCGTGAGAAAATCTATAATACACAATCTTTTATATAGATTCACCAGCATTATCAATACCAGCCTAAACCAAACTTACAGTTACAGGCTGTGTACGCTTCAGATTCCTGATAGGTTGGAAATCGAAATGTTACAGAGTGAAGACAAAATTTACATGATTGCTCGCTGCATGGTTATGTCATCATTAACCAACCAGGTGCAGAAAAGTAGTATCAAAAATCATTTCATTGAGAGCAAATTATACCTTTCATATCAGACAAAACAGAACCAGACCGATTCAAACCTTAAATTACATTGGTATAAAGATTTGTTTACCATTTATATCAGAACAGTATTCTAGTAAGGAAAACAGTATGTCAAAAGTGCCACCAGGTTTTCCAAAAAAGTCTTAATGAACAATATAGGCTGCTCTCATTGTAGTGACGTTTCAATGGGGGCAAGGGGGAGTAGGTATGCCCTCAGAAAAGAAGCTAGCCATTTTACAAAGTGACAGAACTGCCTGTGGCCCCCTGTTGCTCATGATCTGCCCCTCAACTAATATTTCCTAGTTACGCCACCGCCTCAATGTGCCCCACAATGTAACCCAGTAGTAAAGTAACCCAGAGATCATAAAATACAATCGGTAAAAAAACAGACATAGTTAAAAATATGGCACCCCATAGATATTTCGTAAGATAAAAACAACATGGTACTAACCGTCTTGGAGGTAAAAGAAAAAAATGAGGAAGATCTAAAATGGATTTCGGTGGGCGATTTCTACAACCATCCAAACTATAATAACGTTTTAAACTTTTCCTGCATCGTCTTAACCGTGTCCGACTGTATGTTCCTTGTGGAGAACACGGTAACGATCTGCAGTAAGCGTCTAATCCACTTTCAGCACTTCCAAATTGAGTCTTAATATCTGCGGCGGAAATGACGTTATCTTTGTCTGCGTCCAGCACAGAAAATATGACGTCTGCTTCATCGTCAGAAAAACTCAGATCTTTAACAATTTTTTCCACTTTATTTTTACAGGCTGTTGGTTTTTCCACGAGATCGAAAAGTTGGATAACTCTTTCAACATCCGGGTCATTATCAACAGAGTTGTCGGCCATTTGCAATTCTTTGATTTGATTCCGAGGTTGTTGCTAAGAAAAAGTCACGGTGGGTCTTTGCCTAATGTTAAATCCGAAGATCCCGATTTTCAATACATTTTAGGTTTTCTCGTCTTTTAATATTCGTTGACCAAAGCTACAAATATCTGGCAATGACAAAGCCTTTCCAAAAAATCTTCAGTTCCGTTGATCGCAATCACAAAAAAATAAATTAAAGCTTGGGCCGATTTTCGTAGTTAGTCCAATCGAAACTAGAACATGATCTGTCAAGGAAATACTAAATGATCAAATTATAAATGTTATCTAGGCTTTGATCGTAATCACAATAAAGATGGACACCTTGACAGATGGTAATTTACTCACGTCCAATCATGCCAAATGTTTGTATAGTCCGCCATCTTGAAATTTGGGTGTCACGCTAATTCAATCATGGCGATATGACGTCACCGTCTGCGATATGAAAGAAACGCGCACAAAGTTATTGGCAAAACTTTTTCTTTTAAATTTAGTCAAAAACAATATATTTTTCTCGATGTAGACAGTGCTTTTAAAAAAATAATGTCTATCTCACTTCGACATGAATGTTTTAGTTGGCACAGGCATACGATTCTAAATTCTACATATATTCATTCAATTAAATGAAAGTCGGTCACCGTCACAGCGACTGTGTCATTATTCTAATCTTGCTCTTGATCTAAAATTAGAACTTATTTTGATATAGTTCAATATTCATTCACACTCGAAAAACATTTAGTTTCCTATTGTAATCCAAATATTGGAAGGTTTATAAAGGGTCCTTTTCTTTGCCAGCTTTTTGAATTAGTGTTTGAAATCGAATGGTTTCGTATTATGAAAATTGGTTAGAAATATTAAATTCACAAATTTTTATATCGAATATCTAACGACCGCCTTTGGGTTGTATATTCCACTATTGAACAGTCTACGTCATAATCACAAAAATAGACTGCTTCAACCGAGAAAGTCAATTTTCAAAGCTTTCCAATCACTTGTCAACTGTTTATTTGGTTTCCAATAACATTTCAAGCGAGTCAAGTGCATAATTTCTATTTTAATATCGTTTATCAGACACTAGGCTATATTTTAGTTAGTATATGCGACTAACTGAATGACCCTGATAACTTAAATAGTCTTTATTCTTGTATATTATATTCTATATTCATTGTAAGTAAAATGGCGAGCAGATATTATTGGTTTTAGAAAATCTTTTCAATGGTTTCACTATAATATCGATTTCTGATTATTACTAAAGGGTCAAGGGCAATAACTCAGCAGTTGTTGTTATTGTAAAATAAAAACTTGTGATGCTCCCTTCGTTATCTTAGGTAAAGTTTTCTCAAAATCTAAAAATTAAAACATCTTCAAGTTGACGTTTTTTTGGTTCATGGGCATCAAAGAATGTCAAAGTTGTAACCCTGTTTGATAAACTATCATCTAATGCAAGCTTTCGCGAGTTTGACGGATCCATAGGTTAAGCGGAAATTGAAGTTTTAGGTTTTTTGGAAGTTTAAATTCTGAAACAAAAGTTCACAAAAAGGATTTGAAGATCTCTGTGTTCAGTTCACTACACCAGTAAAACAACTATCACAATTTCAGCTGACACAAATTGGCTATCAGCTGACCACAGAATATAATAATCATCAAAGAAGTGTCGCTGGAGATCACTCTCTCCAAACTGACGAAGATTGGTGTAGAATTTAACCAATTACTCTGATTGTGTCCAGTGCTCGATGACTGTAAAAAATTAACTGAAACGTTTTTGTTATTTCTTTTTGTAAATGAACGAAATTGGCAATTAATACGAGAACTTGGCGATGAAACTATAGAGCAACTTCTGATGACCACAGAATACTGTCTCATTACGTTCTCTCTTCAGATGTCTTTCATAATGTCGTAAAATATATAACATAAAAAATATTTACTCAACGCAACGTATAAATTCCGAAGCAACTTTTCAGACGAATAAACTATCACAGAGCAACAAGTATCGGAATGTCGGTTCAAACGTTCTTTTTCTGTTTCTAAATACTTCCAAAGTTTTATCAAATGTTCAAATTATCATAAAACCACAAAATAAAATATAAAAGTAAAGACGGGAAGCGATTTAAACTTATAAACACTTATTTTATATCCACGTATTGTTTGAAATTCCGTTTTCTCGCCATAAATTCGCCATTATGAAATTGTCAATAACAATTAGTAACATTAAGCGGCCATGTTATAAAATTCCTGGCGAGGAGAAAAGTTAATGTAACAGCTGGCCGACTCCAGACTCGACAGCCTACACACTATTTATATTAATATACAGCTTGATATATTTTACTGCTTACGTATATTGCTTATGACGCTTACATTGCTTATCAGCAGTTCTACACTGATTCATTACCTATTCACTTCGTATCTTCGTGTTATCCTTACGCAATGCGCTTACTCATTGACAGTTTTACATTTTGTTTTGTAATTATGAACACACACTTAGGGTCTTACGACTTGTACATTGTTTTATCGACAGCCAATCAATACGCTTGTTTTGTAGCCATTTTACATTTTGTTTTGTAAATATGTACACACAATTAGCGTCTGGAATATTACATTTCACTGCCTCACACGAAGCTATTTGGATAAAGTGGATCTAGGTCCCATCTTTTTATTGATAAGGGTGGTAGTTTAAAGAGCGATGTCCCAGATTGCCGATTGGTTACGTACTTAATAAAAATAAATTGAGTTTAAAATAAAGTAATAATGTTTCATTATTAATAAATTCTCTACTATAAATTGTAATATATCAATCTCCAATCAATATACGTTTTATATATTATTAGAAACCCATTTTTCAGATGAAAATAAAAATACAGTCACATTAGGTTCAGGGGAGTTTATCGTGCCACTTTTCTGCTGAATTAATTAAACCTGGCAACTCCGTGTAGTGTGCAGTGAAATGAATGAATCTTCACGCCCTACTCTTCTGTATCAACGCCAAGCAGTGTGCAATGAGGGGAATTTTGGAAATTTGGCAAGATCAAGGCGTCATCACACTGTTTTTCCATTTCGATTTTGCGGAGAGAGAATCTTAAACACACAAAATCTGTAGCTAACATTGCGTGAAGACTGCCTGCAACTCGTTATGTTTTGTTTCGTTTCAATTTTTTTTTCGGAATTCAAATTGTGGAATGTGTTATAAATAAACGAAACGAAAAATTGACAATTGATAATAAGGTGTCTTGGTTTGTAGTTTTCCAGAACCTGTCAGCCTCTCCTAAATACAAACCAATTTTCTGGCATTTTCTCAATTAAATACGTAGTTTTCTTTTGGAGACAAAAACACCCACGTCCTCAATTCAACGGAAAAATGTGAAGGCTCTAATTAAATTGCAAATTTCTCGTTTTTGGAGTAAAATCAATATTTCACAGAGCTACCATTACTGACCTATTTTTCTTTCTAAAGGCCAGATCGAAATTTCATTTAAAGTTTTCACTTTGTACAGTGCAAATTATCGCAACAGCTTGGGTTATTAGGCCAACAGGCTCATAAATTACCCAGCGAACAAAAGGTAATAAATTTCTTAAGCTTTTGTAGTCAAGTTAAAATTTAAAAATAGGATTGCGAAATTGAAATTGTGAAATATGGGGCACTGTTTCTAAATTAGATGTATAAACTTTCAGTCTTGACCTTAATAATATTGGTTTTTGTCTAACAGTTTAAGGTCAAGCCATGGTTACATCCGGATACTTTCCAAACGTTTTATACTCTAGTAAAAGAGATTGTAAAGAGGTTTTCAAAAAAAAAAATATATGTATCTGTATATTATATGCACTGATAGCATCAATTTACACCATTCCAATTTTCAATCAGACGTCTATGATTCCTGAAATTCCACTAAAACTAGGTGTTTGATGACGTCACTAATCGCCTTATTTGATAAAGCTAAGTTAACGATTAGTGACGTCACAAACACCTAGTTTTAGTAGAATTACAGGAACCAAATATGTCTGATTTAAAATTTAATTGGTGTATATTGATGCTATCATTGTTCCCGATACACTTAAAATATTTAGAAAACCTCTTTAGAATCTCGTTATGATAAGAACGAAACAACCAATTAACCAAGGTTAACAACTTCGTGAGGATCCTTTCTACCAGTTGGTCCTTGGCCAAACCTTTTGGCATTGATCTTTCCTGTATTATTTGTACCCATTTACAGCTATGTCGACAGACAGACGTATTTGAAGGTGACTCAATTTGCTGACCGCGACTAAAACCCACGACCATCAGCCTAACCAAGCAAATAACGCCATGTGAAGAAACAACGTTTTAACTGATAGTTCTACAGAACGCCTCAAGTAAGAAGAAGGTATTCTGTTCACGATATTTGCTCTTACTTGGAACCCCTATATATCAAGAGAGCATGCCCCTTACACCCCCCTCCCCCCACTCCCGTGCCCAACTTCATAGAGTATAATTATTTCTTAAATGCAATGTATTTAGATTTCACATCAAACATGTATATAACTTCTTTATTTTTACTGTCTGTTATTTTGCGTGACGATAGTCTGTTCGATTTGTACTTTTAACATTAATCATTTTATAAATATAAAAGAAAATTTGTACAATGAAAAGTAATTTACGAATTTAAAAACTTAAAAAAATATTTTTATAAGTTGAAATTTTTTTTAATTACTTTTAATAGTTTCTGTATTATTTTACATATTTAATTACAAACATAATTTACGTTTTTTTTTTCAAAAAATCTATAACGCAATATACAAATATAAAAAAATCATTTAATTACTCCTATCTTAATTTATGAATATTCATGAAGTGTTTTTAAATAAAGTTTTGGCATTTGCTGTGTGATTCTTGTGAAGATTTCTGCAACGAAGATGTAATTAAACAAATAAAATACACGAATGAACTATGAATAAATGATTCAAATTAGCTTAGTTGTTTATTTATGAATATTCATGAAGTACTTTAGAATAACTCTCTTGCATTCGGTATCTATTCTTTGGCGACTATTAAAACACATTTTGAAGAATTTTTATCCATTTAAAAATTAAATGTGAATAAATTATTCAAATTAGCATAGATTTTGACTGATAAATATTCATGATGTACTTTTATATACGTGTATCTCATGTTGTTACTATTATAGCTATTTTATTTGTTTGTCTTAAATTCTGTAGGGTATCTTACAGGGTTACTAAATACAATGGAGTCTTTTATTATCTATACCAATGCAGCATTCTGTACTTTCTGTACCTAATTTTAATAATGAAATGGAATGGAGTTTTACGTCCTATGTATTCTAGTGAGCTAATTTATTCTCCATGTTCTATACCTACATTAAACCGAGGCCCCTAGGTCTACAGGATGTGCACGTTAAAGATCCCTCAACAGTTGGAAATCGAAAAAGAGCAGGCTAATGCCGCTGTCCATGCAAAATTTTCCTCATTGCACCCTGCATGGCGTTGCCCGTCTTCATTAGCCCACATGGTGCAGAAAAGTAGAACGTAAAACTCCATTAATTTCATTTCATTTGTTCTGAACCTTTTCTTACAAATGACATAAAATGGATTTTTATGGTTCCTTACTTTACTAGGTAAACGAGGATGCCAAGCTTAGCGAATAATGGAAATTTAATGAGGACAAGGGCAATAACTCTGCAAATATTCATCAATATTTTTACTAAAAAAAAGATCAATTACGTACATGATCGTATACCGGGTCTTGGTTTATTTATCCCATAAGAAGATCAAACGCTTTCCCACCACTGTCAACCCCGAGAAGAAAATTGGAGAAGAACATTTGGTCTATTTCGACATCAAGACCAGACGCTTCTCCAAGGACAACCCACAGGAGAAACTTTAAGGTGATCATACTTACGCTGGTACAGCACCATGCATCAGAGCTAAGTCCAAATCTTCATGGTGATGTGACGTCATTTTGTGACAAAATTTCTTACAATACATAGATCTACAAAAACCATGGACAAAATATTCTATTGTAGTTCAAATGTTCGTCAAATACCGATAGACAGTGATTCTTACGACATCTTTGTCAGGACAGGTGCCTAATACAAAAGGCTTCACTGTTTTTCTAGTCTAGAAAAACCCCAGATGGCATATTTTTGTTGTTCCAGGAAGTTTGAAAATCAGTATTATGAGTTTTTTCAAAATGCAACTACCGAAGAAATGTCTACTTCAAAATATCAAACAGGGGCACTGTTTTAAAATTCTAAAATCATTAATTTATCAAGGCACGTATAAGTGAACAAATTTCCAAACGACAGTGTCAGCAATACATCTAGCTACCGATAAAAATGTCCATTTCAGTTCTTGTTAATCCTAATCCAGTTAGAGTAAAAATTTAAATTACCAATACAATGCTGATAGTTTTAAATTACAACAGCGATACAGCGATACAGCAGTTTCGAGGACAACCAAAACGATGGAAATTGCCACTTCAAAATCCCAACAGTGTTAATGAAAACACCTTTCAAATAACAAACAGCATTACAATAGTTTCGAGGACAACCAAAGCAGTAAAATTTTCCTGCCCCAGAACGATAAAAATTTTGTCCAAGCACACAAGAATAACTTTTTAAAATCCCAACATAGTTAATAAAACCACTGCTACGACAGTTACAACAGCACTGCCAAAACGGTGAAATCACGACTAAAAAACAATGAAATTTGGTCCAAGCACTCTCTAATACCTTCTTAAAATCCTTACAATGTTAAAACTGTGAAAAATTCTGATAATATATTGAACTGTATGTATATATAAAAGCGCTTACAGTTGAACATATGTCATAAACAATGTCTAGTTCAAACTTTACTAAATTCAAATCGATTTTAACAAGTTATAACGAAACATTGCAGCATATCCAAAGTTATTTAATTTTATATTTTTTATTGTGTGTATTTTAATAATATGATTGATATACTTCCTCGTCTGAAAAGTTTATTAACTGCTACCTACGGTGGTTTGTGCACAACATGTTTCTTTTTCTTATTATTTATGATTTAATTCTACTTATTTTATATTTTTGTTTCGTAGCTACCAATGTTTCGTCAATATGTTGTTTGGATTTCGGGTTTTGTTTTTCGGTTCGGATCGTTAATATTTGGTTTATTATAACATACTATTAAAGATGGGTTTCCTTATTTTTGTAATGTCAAATTAGGCAAACTATTTGATTAATTGGTGTTTCTTATGAATTATCATGTATTCTTAATCATATCATTATGTTCTTATTGCATATAATTAATAGTTTTAACCAATCATAAATATCCATGTATGTACAGTCTGGATAAACAAAAAAAAAACTTTTTGACCTTTCTTGATCGGTCACTCATTGGAATTCTGCTGATATAATTCTCTTCTAATTTAGTTAATTATGAATTAATTATGGACATTTGAGACAAACTGGTATTATTCCAAGTCATTAGAACACCTCTACTTTATATTCATATAAGTGTTAGCATTTTCACTTTTATAAATGAAAATAAGGACACCCATCTTTAATCAATAATCAAGCGAATTGGAATATCTGCATTTATTCAACACAGTGCAGTTATGTCACGTCTCGTTCTCGCGTTCCAGTTATCCAGCCGTAACCATAGGTGTCGGGATATCATGAGAACGGACTTGTCCATATTGATATAGCCTAGTCTAGGACGTGATATGTTCGTATCTCAAATAATGACGAATTCACGTCGGATGTCACAAATTTGGTAAAAAATAACAATTCTAATAGACGAGTTTCTACCTCACGAGGAATTCATGAAGCCAACCATAGAAAACGTTATATTATATATTTGATAAAGCACATTTGACGATTAGTGACGTCATCAAACACTTAGTTTTAGTGGAATTGTAAGAACCACAGACGTCTGATTTAAAATTCGAATGGTGCAAATTGATGGTATCAGTGTCCCCGATACACTTTTACAAATTTAGAAACCTCTTCGCCGCCTCTTTAAGCCTTGATACTAGGCTAATCAAGAGCTCCTAGACCGAATCTTTCATTGATATACATTGTACAATGTGCGTAGAAGGTAATTTTTCTCACAATATAAATAAATAAATACAAGATGTCGCCTTTATCAATAGAAACTTAAATGCCATTGAAAGGGAGGCAACTTATCTTGAGATTTCTTTCATCCAATGAAAATAAATCCAAATACAAAGTTTCATTTTATTTAAGTTGTCGTGGTGCTGACACCAAATCAGAGTAGGAAGAAAGGATTTACTTTTCCATAGGTCTTTAAGAGATTGTAAAGAGGTTTTCTAAAATTTTTATGTGTATCGTGGACACAGAAATCATCAATTTACACCATTCCAATTTCAATCAGTCTGTGGTTCTTGCAATTCCACTTAAGCTAAGTATTTGATGACGTCAATAATCGCAAAATATACTGTATCACATAAGTACCTCGCAATTAATGACGTCATAATACGCTTAGTTTAAGTGGAATTACAGGAACCACGTCTGATTAAAAATTGGAATGGTGTAAATTGATGCTCCGATGCACATAAAAAATTTAGAAAACCTCTTTACAATCACTTTAAAAGTTCCATTTTAAAGATTTAGCTCTGGTTTTTTATTTACGAAGAATCTGTCTACCAGCTGATACTTGACCAAATCTCTTGACAATGACCTTACAAGGACCACAACTTAAAATTAACTCCTACAGAATGGTCCTTGAGTCGGCATAGAGTAATGAGGAAAGATACCTTTTTGAAAGGGGGGGGGGGCAGAGGGGACAAGGATGTTGCTGTTAATTTAAAATCAGCCTCAAAATTATCAAACAATAAGCATGATCTGACCGAAAACCCAACATTAAGATTATTTGATTGACGACATTTGACTATTAAAGGTATATTTTAAGCATCTGATAGATATTGGTTTTATTCAGGTAGAGTGGTATCTAGGAAAACGTGGAAGTTCAGAAAGTGGGATTAACTTAGATTCTGGGTGATTCACAGAATGTATGACCTTCGTGGCCAGGTTATTGCGGGGGTTGGTGTTGATATTCATCTGACGTCAGACTATCACCTGAAGAAACTATGTTGTGTATAGGCATACATCGATCGAGTCACGTGACATAGATATTTATACCAATAATTGACGACTGCATTCCAAGCCGACTGAGTCATCGCATAAAAACAACATGGCGACCGGCACAGCTGTCGAATCCCGCCAAAAATCGATAAGACATTTTCAGTTCAATACTTCAATTTAACAGGTGATATATCCTAGGCCAATAGCCGACCAGTTTTATCAACCAAAATAAACATTTCAAAAAATAATGTGAAGTTTTTCGTCTCCCTTTTTTAACTCTATCGAACTGAAATGACATGCAGATTTACCTCCTTATCTTTTTGAAACATTTTGAGTTTATGGCCTCATGTTCTTAAAGGGACGGAGGCGCCATTTTATTTGACCAATCATGCTTTAGTCTCAGAAACGGTAATTTTCTAGCCAAGCCCAATCAGTATTAGTTACACAGATCACGACCTTTCTTGTATAAACGTGGAGCAAAAATTTAAAAGGGATTTGGTCCCCCACTTTCAATTTTTTATCATTTTACATGTGAAAGCATAGCCTGTGCCCCTCTCTGGAACATTTTGTGGCCTCGGTTCGCCCCCCCCCCCCCCCAACCTCTAATGTTTCCTAGTAACGCCACTGGTGTTTTACCACAAGAAAAACTAACACAAGCTTATATTTCGTTGTTGTTTGCATTCATTTATCTTTAATATATTATGTGGTACGACTCTCCTACACTTAGGCCTACAATAAAAGGAAATGTTTGCACCGACTTGTGATAAAGATTCTATAAATAGTAACCAATTAACCTCGTTTTCGATATCTATTACTTTCGATTTCACTTTTCACACTGTATAAAATCAACTAACACCTTTTTCATATTTAAATTAAATCGTTTTTGATTGATTTTTATTGTCTAGAAATGTTGACAAACGTGCACATAGAAAATGTGTGTTCGATAAAAGTGGATCGAATTTTCAAAATATTTACGTTACCAGCTAATAGAGCTCAATATCAGCTATCTGTATAGTCTTCTAAATATTTACTTTACCAGCTGATAGAGCTCAATTTCAGCTATCTGGATAGTCATCTAAATATTTACTTTACCAGCTGACAGAGCTCAGTTTCAGCTATTTGTATAGTCATCTAAATATTTACTTTACCAGCTGATAGAGCTCAATTTCAGCTATATGTATAGTCATCTAAATATTTACTTTACCAGCTGATAGAGCTCAATGTCAGCTATATGTATAGTCTTCTAAATATTTACTTTACCAGCTGATAGAGCTCAATTTCAGCTATCTGTATAGTTATCTAAATATTTACTTTACCAGCTGACAGAGCTCAGTTTCAGCTATCTGTATAGACATCTAAATATTTACTTTACCAGCTGATAGAGCCCAATTTCAGCTATCTGTATAGACATCTAAATATTTACTTTACCAGCTAATAGAGCTCAATGTCAGCTATCTATATAGTCTACTAAATATTTACTTTACCAGCTGATAGAGCTCTATTTCAGCTATCTGTATAGTTATCTAAATATTTACTTTACCAGCTGATAGAGCTCAATTTCTGCTATCTGTATAGACATCTAAATATTTACTTTACCAGCTAATAGAGCTCAATGTCAGCTATCTGTATAGTTATCTAAATATTTACTTTACCAGCTGATAGAACTCAATTTCAGCTATCTGCATAGTCATCTAAATATTTACTTTACCAGCTGATAGAACTCAATTTCAGCTAACTGCATAGTCATCTAAATATTTACTTTACCGGCTGATAGAGATCAATTTCAGCTATCTGCATAGTCATCTAAATATTTACTTTACCAGCTGATAGAGCTCAATTTCAGCTATCTGTATAGACATCTAAATATAAACTATACCAGATGAGAGAGCTCAATTTCAGCTATCTGTATAGTCATCTCAATATTTACTGTACCAGCTGTTAGAGCTCAATTTCAGTTATCGGCAACCTTTTCAGAATTAATATCAGAAGTTTAGTTCGATTGCTATTGAATAAATAAACTGGCGGAAGTGACGACATTTTAGGAGGTCCATGACGTCCAAGTAGCCTGTCAGTAATAATATTTTGATAACACAAGGAATTTCAGACTAACGTCATGTCCGCCAGTGTGTTTTTCTTTGATATCAAACGAACATAGCCTTCGAATTCCATTCTAAAAAGTGTTATTAAAAGCTGAAATTTAGACTTTATGAACTGGGCGATAATATTAATTTAATAAATATCCATGAATTTAAACAGAATAGAAAAAAAAATGGAGCAACCATAGAAAGGCTGTTGTGACAGATGGATGTAGTCAATTTAAAATCATCTCCCGCTAAGATCGTTGTATTGCTTAATTTACTGATTGTGTAATGCTCTAAATGGGTTCGCACTAGTAGGCTAATAAGCACCCGGAGTTGACTTATAGGAATTAAATTTTGCGTGAATATTTATTCCATGACAATGAGGTTTGATGTAAAACGTGTAATGTTATTGAATTACCTTTAAGTTGCCTATCGTGTATGTAAATTAATTTATGTAAGGGGGTTGGCTCTTAGTGGAGGGGTTGTACATGATCCACAGATGAAGGTATTACGAACTTCGTCTTATCCCTTGACTCTACCTTTTATTGTATTATTGAAGATCGTAAATGCAGCAATTTGACAGCCAATCAGAGCCTTCGACAGAAAGTCTGTAAATAATAAGTTATACAGATTACAGTCTGTCTGTCAGGAGATCTGATTGGCTGTATTTACAAGCGTACAATTTCCTTTTGAGTCCCTAATGTGAAATAAAAAGAGAAACCTACCATGTCAGGCTTTTCAAACTATCATCCAAGCCGGTATTAGCATACAAATCATTTCCCGCCAAACAATCCATAGAGCTCGCGCTCTTCAACGTCTGTCGTATTTTCTCGCGAGATTTGCCTTGCATAGCCTCGTTAATTTCTTGAAAACCACGTGCGAATTCTTCCACACTGATTCTACCGTCGCCATCTTTGTCCAACTGAGAGAAGACATCTTTTAGTTCTTCCACGTCCAATTCCGTGCAAACTGAGGCAAGTTCGGTTTGATCAATAAACCCAGATCCATCCAAATCACAAGCTTGGAATAACTGTCCTAATCGTTCTTGTTCCGAACTGTCGCCCATAGTTCGAACCAACTGGGACAGTCACACGGTTAAAATGTCAATAAATCTCAGATTTCTGTGTCTTTGTTTCTCAAGTAGCTTGACTTGATATCTGAAATGGATAGAATTGAATAGATTTAAAATTTGTACATTTTATCGTTATTTATCTAATATTTTGGCGCTGCTTTTCCTTAAGGAAATATGCCCAACAGTCTTATAAGAATTAGACAAAACTTTCGTTCTATTTTTCACTAGTATAGCTTTTATATTTATATAGCTACTAACATAAAATAAAAGGTCATTCAAAACAGAACGAAAGTTTGGTCTAAATTCAATTAAACTGCATGTTCATATTCTTAAAGCTATGTTCAAATATGAAATATCTGTATTAAGGTGTAGATTGAAATAATACAGATGAATTCCTGAAAATAACAAATCAATTTAATGCATCAAATTTTAATAGGATAATTCAATGCATAATATTATCAACATTTACAACTATCTGATACGTGATATTTAACGCTTTTTGCCGCCTACAATGACTTGCATTTTGTATCGTGCAATTTATATCGAGTATATCCACACTTGAAGGTACAAAGCACTTTGTATCGTGCACTTAGTATCGTCATTGTCATATCGTGCACTTTGTATCGAGGTACAATGCACTTTGTGTCGTGCACTTTGTATCGTTCACTCTGTTTCGTGTAGTCTGCATCGTGCCCTTTGTATCGTGCACTTTGTATCATGCACTTTATATCGTGCATTTTGTATCCGCACTCGAAGGTTCAATGCACTTTGTATCGTGCACATTTCTATATTTGTCCGCATTGTGTATTTTTGGTCTTGTTAGTTTTTAAATTGCCAAAATCCGTTCCCTCTTTCTGTATACTATAAAGTGAAACATTCCCCCTAAGTTCCTCCCCTCAAAGAATTCTTTGATTTGAATTGCAATAGCCACTATTCTTGTATCACGGAATTCAGCGATTTTATAGGATTGTAAGCCACCGAATACAACCAATCAGAACCTTCGACAGAAAGACTGAAAACATTATTATTTACAGACTTTCTGTTTGGGCGTACAATCCAATCAAATCACTGCATTTACAAACTTTTGTGATACAAGAATAAGGCCTTTTAGTATTGTAATCAAGGTATAAGACGAAGTTCGTAATACCTTGACATTGTGGAGATGTGAATTCGGGTGGCATTCGACTTTGAGCTGAGTTAATAGTTAATAGAACTTATGGCAAGGAATTTTATGTTCTATTCAAACAAGTAGTACTACACTCTAGTGACACATTTTTCATATAAATGTAAATAACAATACAATGATTAATGAATAAATATCTAAATAAATAGATCACTATCAATGGTCAAGTGACAAATATCGATAATTTTGAATTTACATTTTAATTTATCAAAATTTGACACTAGAATTAATTTATATTGATTTCTGTTGCTATGGATACAGTTCTAAATAATTTGAAATATCATATATATTAGATAAACATCACAGTAATATTATAATATCAGTGAATATTCATTAATATGAATAGAGTGATACTGGTATTCAGTAATCCGATTATAGTTTGAGTAAGGCTATGGATCAATTTGTCTTGACGTCCTTTCGGAATTAATCTTAGTTTTATGATTCAAGTAAGGCGTTTGATCAATACAGTTTGACGTCTTACTGAAATAATCTTAGTTTTATGATTTAAGTAAGGCGTTTGATCAATACAGTTTGACGCTCTACTGAAATAATCTTAGTTTTATGATTTAAGTAAGGCGTTTGATCAATACAGTTTGACGTCTTACTGAAATAATCTTAGTTTTATGATTTAAGTAAGGCGTTTGATCATAAGTTTGACATCTTACTGAAATAATCTTAGTTTTATGATTTAAGTGAGGCGTTTGATCAATACAGTTTGACGCTCTACTGAAATAATCTTAGTTTTATGATTTAAGTAAGGCGTTTGATCAATACAGTTTGACGTCTTACTGAAATAATCTTAGTTTTATGATTTAAGTAAGGCGTTTGATCAATACAGTTTGACGTCTTACTGAAATAATCTTAGTTTTATGATTTAAGTAAGGCGTTTGATCAATACAGTTTGACGCTCTACTGAAATAATCTTAGTTTTATGATTTAAGTAAGGCGTTTGATCAATGTACTTTGACGTCTTACTGAAATAATCTTAGTTTTATGATTTACGTAAGGCGTTTGATCAATACAGTTTGACGTCTTACTGAAATAATCTTAGTTTTATGATTTAAGTAAGGCGTTTGATCAATACAGATTTAGGAAGGCGTTAAATTTTCCCTCGATCAAGACTTAATCTATTTAGCATTGTATCTCAACTTTTGCTTTAGCATAGCTCGGTGCGGGATGGTTGTGGCCTGAATCCCAGCTCCTGATATACTTTTATCTTCGCCATGCTAAGGGTGGCCTTCATCTCAGCTTTTTTTTAGTTGGGGTAAGATTCACCTGTATCCCGAAACCCAATATTCTTTAAGCTGTGGTGGGGCAATTGCAATTCCGTCTCTCAATAAATATGGGTTACTACGCTTACAAATAATCATTAGAACTGTCGAATAGGCAACTAAAAGCTATTTATTATTATCAATCATAATATTAAATTACGCCTACTTACTATACACGTGTCAAAAAGAAAAATGGCCTGCTTTAGAAATATAATTTTAATTTCAATACAGTTCTCATTTATCAACTTCTGTAGGTCAGATATAGTGACAAGTGTAAAGTGGAGTAAACTTTCCGTCATTGAACTGAATGCAGTTTTACGTTTTTCCTATGACAGATTAGAACTAAGTATCTGCATGACTGACAGAGGTAAACCGGGATGAGAAGTCCAATATATCATTAGGGTCCATGTCGAGTATCCTCAATAAGTTTCCGTTAGAGAGAACAATTTATTCAACAGACGCCTGGTCCCGATAAAACTAATTAAGATGCCCTATTTTAACGAATGAAATTCCAGTACTAGCTTTTATGAAGCAATAGGTATTTCATGGTATATTTGGAGTATTAATAGCTTAGAGATTCCAAGATATTACACGCATTCGGAGAGTGACATTCAGTGCTTTGCTGCGTTAAACTGTACCGCTACCAGCAAGCAGATTGTAAGCTGGTACCACACGTTTCTCCACTGTTTATTCGTAAGAAAGTGTAAAAGTGGAGCTCATTCAAGACGGAAGCGCTCTATGAAAGTTCCTACCTTTCTGTAAGAATTTTGCCACTTCCGGTTTGATTTCCTTTTAATCTACGTTAATAAATTCCGAAGTCAGATTTGTAAAAAGAAAAAGCCTAGGGCTAAAGTGAAAGTGGAGTTGATCATTACTCAAGATTAGAATACGTGTATTACATATATAACTAAATATAGATATAAAAATATAGATATATCACAGTTCAAATAAGTAAATTAGCAAGACATATAATATACTTATCTAATTACTAAATAAGTGACTGTCGAGATCCTACCAACTCTTAGTGTATTAAGAAAAAGTATGACAAAATCGGGAGTAAAAGTACTACTAAGATGAAATCAGAATATTTAAAGATTTGAAACGTATTGGAGGTTTTTAATGTCCTACATCTTGCACCTGGGTAGAATTTTTAAAAAAAGCCATAAACCTCAAGTAATATGCAATGTGGTAAATTTGCTAGGGTGGCGGCATTAAAGAACACTCTGCCTATTACCAACTGTTTAGGGGCCTCGGTTTATTGTCCCATCCCAACGATTAGACGGCTTTTCTATGTCAGCCCCTATTACCTGGGTCACTGACGGGCGGGAGGGGGGGGGGGGGGTTGATTGAGGAATCCAACGTATTTATGTGGAACTATGCCGAAATTGGACCTTCCTACCTTCCAGAATAAAAGGACAATGGTTAAAACATCAAATAAAATCCCCGTTTCAGCATTAAGAACACTTGTCAACCAAATTTATCAACATACTTACATGCATTGAGGCGTGATATACTCACAGACAACTCTTGTTTTTTTTAAAGGCCTAGGCTACTATCACCAACGTTTGTTTGATATTTTGTCGTCTTATTTTTCTACTTTGGATACATGGTTGGCAAGGGTGAAAAAATGACGTCATATGGTATCGATGATAGACAATATTAAGATTTTGATTTAAAATCTAGGTGTATATTAATGATGAAATGAAATGGTGTTTTATATCCTACTGTTCTGTATCTTATTGGACTAATGAAATGAAATGTAGTTTTATATCCTACTGTTCTGTATCTTATTGGACTAATGAAATGAAATAGAGTTTTATATCCTACTGTTCTGTATCTTATTGTACTAATGAAATGAAATGGTGTTTTATATCCTACTGTTCTGTATCTTATTGGACTAATGAAATGAAATAGAGTTTTATATCCTACTGTTCTGTATCTTATTGGACTAATGAAATGAAATGTAGTTTTATATCCTACTGTTCTGTATCTTATTGAACTAATGAAATGAAATAGAGTTTTATATCCTACTGTTCTGTATCTTATTGGACTAATGAAATGAAATGTAGTTTTATATCCTATTGTTCTGTATCTTATTGGACTAATGAAATGAAATAGAGTTTTATATCCTACTGTTCTGTATCTTATTGAACTAATGAAATGAAATACAGTTTTAAATCCTACTGTTCTGTATCTTATTGGACTAATGAAATGAAATGTAGTTTTATATCCTACTGTTCTGTACCTTATTGGACTAATGAAATGAAATATAGTTTTAAATCCTACATTTTATTGGGCGTGAGAATTTGGTGTAGTTAGAAAGTGAAATTTTAACACTATTTTCAATGTTTATGTTTTGATTAATAGTGATGAGAATAGTCAGGTGGTAATTGTACTATCACTAACAGTCAACACGAGGGTTGGATTTAATAGGCTACAAGTTCTAGTTCATGGTCAAACTTTCCTGACCTATCACTATCTTTACGTCTGTAAAGGTGAGAATAGAGAGAGATGGTATGGTGGTGTATGATGCTGCGATT